GGATATTATGGGTTGCCTAGTCCCAAAGGTGAAGGTGACACAAGCGGGAAAAGTTTATTGTGTATTGTGTGTCGTCCCCATTGAGTTTGTATTTTAGTTTTAATTTTATTATTTGCAATTTTCTTTTTGTATTTTTTTAAAAAACACACATGTTATTCAACACCAGTTCTAGCCAATTTTTAAAATGCAGGCCTCCACATTCACACCCACAGTCAGAAGGAGCGACCTGTTTGTGACATCGAGCGAGGCAGGCGTCGGGCTGCTCAGCTGTGCCAGTCCTTCTGAAAAGCAGGAGAAATTCTGGGACAGGGGTCCGGGGCCTTTAATTGACCAGCCATGCTACCATTTGTTTTAACAGTATACATGGATTTTTTAAGAACAAAATTCTTCAAATAGAATGAGTTCCCTGTAAAGTTTCTAGTCCATAGTGCATTGCAGTGCAAGAGACTTAAATGCCATTATGACCCTGTTAAGAGTGGGAGGCAGGGTTGAACTCTTCACGGGGGGCTTAAACCCTGGAGGTGTGTAGCTGTGAAAGGGTTCTGTCCCATCCAGGTGTAGCTCAAGAGATTCTGCAGCCTGAGGCAGTGCAGGCAAAATACCCTCCCCCCCAGGGATCTAAAGAAGGTTTATTCCTCTTGGCCTGTGGGGCAACAAATCTGTCTGTCACCAATTTTGAAAAAGCAACAATAGCAAACTAAAAAAAAAAAGATTTACTGCCTTCCTAGGACATCCGATGCCTGTCTCCCTCTGCTTCATGGCAGAGCCAGGCCTGGTTTCATGCAGGTGCAAATTCTGAGGGGGGGGGGCTTCTCTGGACACATCATGAAAGAAAATTAGGATAAACCGATGGGGAGAGATGGATTTCCTATCGCCCTAGGACTCTTTTATCCGGGGGGGGGGATGGCTTCCAAGCCCCCCACTGATGCTGAAAAAAATGCAGACATTCTATTTTAATAGTGAATGCTAGTGTATATAACATGGTCTCTGGTTCCCTCAGGTGGCCAGTTCTGGTAACCACATCGTTAAAAACAGAAATATATTGGGTTTTTAAAAATATTTTTAATATTTTCAGACCATGGATAAGTGAATCTATGGATCCTGATCTTGTGGATAAGGGGGGGTCCCTACTGTGCTAACTGGCTTTTCCTCTGTTTCTAGAATGGGCTGCTGTTCTGACTTGTGCCATGCTGGTGGCCTCCCTGTGCCTTTCCACCGTCGTCTGCTGCTGCACCTTTCGCTGGTCGAGGTCCCACCCTCCCCTGTCTGGGTCTCCGTACGTGCAGTGGATCCAGCTGGAGGAGTTTGAGCCTTCTGCACAAGCCCCAAGCTCTCCAGAGCCCTTCCCCTCTCCAGCGGCCGAGGGTCCCCGGGGCGACACGGACCAGCCCCCTCCCTCACCCATCGTGCAGGTTCACCGGACGCAGGCAGAGACCTCGGATGATGAGGCAACCCCTGGGCCTCTGGTGCACCGGAATGTCCCACGCCGTGCTGGGCCGCCCGGCTTGGAAACGGAACAATCTGCAGAGCAGTGATGTAGGAAGCGAGCAGAGACGTGTTGGACCTGGAGGAAGGCAACCCCACACTAGCTAGACCACCGTGGCTGCTTCTAGGATTTGGGGAAGGAATCGTTCTTGTTCAGGTTGAAGGATCTGCATCCACTCTTTTCAGAGGGCATTAAAACTTTTTCGATACTTAACGTGCATACTATCATCCCCGCTAACGGGGCTGCAGGAACGGACCTGATTCTTTGCCTAGCCTGGAAATCGCCTTAAGTTAGGCCGATGGTCTTACGGGTCAGCATCCTGGATCCCCCTCTGAAACAGTTAATGCTCGATAGTTAATGGTCCGTGAGTTCTTGCTTCAGAGAAATAGTGTGCCCACCAACGGTTAATAACACTTTTGTGTCTTTTCAGTTAGCTTTCTCCTCCCTGACCCTTTCCCAGTAGATGTCAGAGGGAGGCAGTATATTAACCAGTTTGACTTATGGAATATTTTCCATATTTTAAAGTCAGGGGCTGCTTAAAGGGGGGGGGGAAGGGGAGAACAACATGTGACCCTCCAGGCACGGTTGGACTTCAACTCCCAGCATTCCTCACTGCTGTCTTTGACAGCAAGGGCTCATTGGAGCTGGACCAGAATGGCTGCTGGAGGCTCATTGAAGCAGAAAAGGGCGACAGGGAGCATCACTCTGTTTTTCCTCGTGATGCTAAGGAGCGCTTTTCCAGCTCTGCGTCCCGAAGCAAGTAGCCTCATTGGATGTGTGTAGGATGATTCAAGCGGCATCTAAAATGCCAGTAGAGGATAAAGCTGTGGCCATTCCTGTTGATGCTAAGGAGCGCTTTTCCAGCTCTGCATCCCAAAGCAAGTAGCCTCAAAAATGTGTGTAGGATGATTCAAGCAGCATCTAAAATGCCGGTAGAGGATAAAGCTGTAGCCATTCCTGCGATGGGGAGAACTAGTTCTGTGTCACCAGATCTGGGAATCCACCCTTGGACCGATGACGTTTGGAGCCTGTCTTCTTAACACTGCCAATGTTGCAGGAAAAGTGGAGTGAATATCTATCTACCGCTGTGGCTTCCAACCTTAGGTCTCCAGATGTTCTTGGACCACAACTCCCAGAAGTCCTGGCCAGCACAGCCGGGGTGAAGGCTCCAGGGAGTTTTAGTCCAAGAACATCTGGAGGCCCAAGGGTGGGGAACCTCTGGTTTACAGTATGCAACACAGCAGTGTAGAAAATGCACAGGTTATCTTTATTCTGCTGGAACCTTTGTTCTTAAAACATATTCTTCTCCTTTATTCTGGGCTAGTTTACTAGTGGACAGCGAGGGCTGTTCCTCCTGAAACTTCATTTCATGTTGGAATAAAGTAGGGCCATGTTTGGAGGAGAATCGGTTTTCTACCTTCTGTTGTCAGGCTTTTAATATGTTTCTGTGCATTGCCCTGAAGAGGCGAGCGAGGCGGGCATCAAGACACCCTCCCCAAAGGACCTGCTCGTTGTGATGCTTGAAGTTGTTTTTCAACATAGATGATTGTTGTGTTTATCCATGCACGGTTTGTTAATAAAGACAATAAAAAGTGGGCATTTGGTTTTCATTCTGGGGTTTGTTCTGCTTGAGATCAGAATTGGATTGATGGATTTGATTTGATTTATATACAGTACCACCCCATTACTGCAATGCATTATTCTGGGGGGGGGGATTTACAGCCATAACACAACAGTCAATCAAATTTAAATAAAACACACAGAGAACAGCCATTCTCAAAGAGGCATACATTGCAACTTGAGTGCCGAACGCGAAGCATATCAAGAAGAATCAGGCGGGGTTACAGAAAAGCACATCTAAAGAGAAGAATAACTGCTGTGAATATCTTTTGCATGTTTGGCCTACAAATTCTCCAAGAATTCTGGGAATAGCAGCCCAAAAACTGAAGCTTGCCCTCCTGGGGGCTTTGCACCCATAGAGAAGGGATTTTAATTACCTGCACTGTCGGCTTTCCCGATCTATTCTTCCTATTGGGATTTGTGAAAGAAAGCGGGGGGGGGGGGAAGAAAACTGTTGTAGCCTTTCTGGGAGTTGTAGTCTGGCTGTCCGTTATGTTCCACAGAAGGCGCCTCCCAATGAATTACAATTCCTAAGAAGCACCGTGGCAGTTTTCATTCAATTTCTCCTCCACGTTCCTCATTGCACAAACTTTTATTGGAGTTCATGGTTCCATATTCCATGCTAGATGAAATGCCACTGAAGCTGTGCACCACCTTAGGGCCCTCTCAGGCCTGTCTATCTGCTAATATCTTTACGAGCAGCAGAAGACCCCTGGGTGTAGCTAGGTATGGATCTTTGCTTGCCTGCTGCTCGGTCCATTTGATGGTTGCCCCAGCTTTCCCCCCACTGCCGAGCGCTGTGCCTTCTGCCCCACAGGCCCCATTGAGGGCGAACCACCCCATCCCAGAGTGCAGGACACATCATAATGGGTGTCCCAGAGTGCAGGACACATCATAATGGGCGCAAGCAACAGGAAGCCAGATTTAGGCTCAATATCAGGGGGGAAAAAAACTTCTTAACTGTTAGAGCAGTACGACGATGGAACCTTGCAGGTGTTGAGCGCTCCAATGCTGGAGGCAGTCAGGAGAAAATTGGACCACCCTATTGTCCGATCTGCTTTGATTAGGATTCCTGCACTGAACAGGAGGTTGCGACTTATTGGACCACCCTATTGTCCGATCTGCTTTTGATTAGGATTCCTGCACCGAACAAGAGGTTGCGACTCGATGGCCTTCCAATGCCCGGATTCTAGGATTCCGAAGGAACAGCGCCTCTCGATCATTACTCAACACTCAACTTTATCGTGACTCATGCTAAATTTAACTGCTTCATGTTTTAATAAAGTAGGACTACATTAATGAATATCTCTTTAATGTATTATGAGTTCTGATCTAAAACTGAGTTTATGGTTTTTGTGGTTAGCGATTTTTCTTTGCTGTCTGGCATTTGTCCTATAATTGTTTATTGCTAAAGTAAACATTTTAAGAAATGTGTATTTTAAATGGTAGGTCGGTAGGCAGTTTACGGTACTTGGGCGCTCTCTGCCCAAGGATGGTGACAACTGAGAAACCCCCCGTATCTTCCTATTCCATTAGTATATACTGTTATTCCGTGACATGCGTTTGTGGATGCTTCTTCGGTGCCTGCCTACGTGGGCTAAAACCTTTGAATCCAAAAAGGAGCTGCGACGGAGGAAATGCACCCTGGCTTCTTAAGCCAGGAGAAACCGTGTGAAATTCCAACAGACTTCAGGTCCAAGTAGACTCAAAGAGGATGGGCATCTTACTAAGGTGCAGTCCCGTTGAAAAGAGGAGGTTTCCTTGCACGTAGAAATTGGGAGGCTCTTGGCCAGGAGGAATCGGGGCCCCGGAGAGGGAGCCCTGGTAAGTTCCTCAGGTGGAGGTGCTTTGGGTCATTTCCTAGCACTGGAGGGCAAACGGAGAAGTGCTGGCGGGCCTGGATCAGAGCCGAGCCAGCTGAGAGGTGTTGAGCCTGTCGGCCGACATAAAGGCTGAGGAGAGACTCAGGATGTCAGACGGACCATCAGGGTGTTTAGGGACATTTTGGAGAAGGAGGTGTGGTTTTGAGTTTTTTGTTTTTTCTTTCCGAAGGCTGGAATGCACACAACTGTGCTGTATGCTCTACTGTTCCCCCAGCTGCTGGCTGCTGGCTGGACCACAAGGGTGGGTGACGGATGCTACCACTGGCCACCCAGAGAGGACCCCTCCCTTTCCTGGCACCGGTGCCTGAAGGAGCCCAACAGGGAGGATGCCCAGGGCTGCAGGGAGCCTTGTCACCCTCCCAATGGCGGTTCAAGGGAGGGGTCTCCTCTCCAGCATCAACGGTGCCCCCGGGTTGCCCTCCTCCAAGCCAGCTTCGCCACCCTGCTGCGAACCACCCTGCCAGCCAATGACAAGCCAGTTCCTGGTAAGTCCCTACTTTTGGTAGATTCTGACACAGGACCTCTTTATCTGCAGGATCAGTACCCGCTGATTCCCTTATCCACGCCCTGAACATATTCTAGGAGAAAACTCCTAGAAATATGTATTTCTAAAGACAAAGTTACCAGAACTGGTCATTAGCAGAGCCGGAGAACGGGCCACGTATAGCGTTTGGCATTAAAACAGTGTTTGCTATGATGCACATTTTTCAGCATCCATGGGGGGAGGAGTTTGGACTTAACCCCCCATGGATACCGGGGTTCAATTGTACAAAACCCAGTTTGGGTGTCTATCTTTGGCTCACCCTGTTGAAGGGCGAAGGGATTCTGGTGCTCGTGATGGAAGGGGTGAAGGAAATGGGGTGCCGGGGAGGGGCCTCAGACACCTGCCAACTGGAGGCCCTCTTCTGTTTTTTTGTGATTTCCAGACTGGGCAGCCTTCTGCTCGTTCATCGCCATCCTGGTGAGCATCACCCTCGGCCTTGTTGCCTGGCACTGCAAGGAGAGGTACTGGGGCCGACGGAGAGCCTGCTGCTGCACCCACGTCTTTCTGAGCGAGAGCCCCGACTCGACGCCCCAAATGGAAGACCTCTCTTCTTCTCTCCTGATTCCACTTCCTCTCATCATGACCCCCTACATCGGAAATCTGACGCACCGCGGCGTTAGCGCTGATGATCTTGAGGAGAACCTGGAGGGACCCCCAGTCATCCACCTTCTTTCTGTAGGTGCTGAAAACCCAGAGGACAAAGCCATCGGGGGGTCTGTGGGATCCAGAACAATTCCTGGCCATGCTTTGAAGCTCAGGTCTCTCCCAGACCACATTCTGGAGCCCAGACCTCCACTGGAGAATGCTCTGGAACCTAGACCTTCCCCGGGCCATGCTCTGGAACCGAGACCTTCCCCAGACCATGCTCTAGAACCCAGACCTTCTCCAGGCCATGCTCTGGAACCCAGACCTTCCCCCGGCCATGCTCTGGAACCCAGACCTTCCCCGGGCCATGCTCTGGAACCCAGAGCTTCCCCAGACCATGCTCTAGAACCCAGAGCTTCCCCAGACCATGCTCTGGAACCCAGACCTTCCCCAGACCATGCTCTGGAACCAAGACCTTCCCCAGATCGTGCTCTGGAACCCAGACCTTCCCCAGATCATGCTCCAGGGCTCATTTTGAAAACAGAACCCATCAGCACACCAGCTACACCTGGAGAAGAAAAACTACTGATGTGACCCCTTATATGGCTGAGACTGGATTTCCCATGCAATTCCCCAGTCCATGCTCTGGAACCCAGACCTTCCCCAGATCATGCTCCAGGGCTCATTTTGAAAACAGAACCCATCAGCACACCAGCTACACCTGGAGAAGAAAAACTCTACTCATGTGACCGCTTATACCTCTGAAAGTGGATTTCCCATGCACGATCTTCATGGCTTGCTTTTATGATCCAGCAAATGAACCAACCCTATTTAATTTTTTTAAAACACACCCCCACACTCCCACACCCCCACACACACCTCTTTCCCCAACACCCCTATTAACATAAATGAAGAAACAGCCTCCATGGTGGGCTTGTTCTAAATATTTCCACTAGCTTCTACGGCACCTTGATCGTTCTCTTCCCGGAGAGATGCTCTGGGACCTTTTATTTGTGGTTCATTTGTCGTTTGTGGGCCTCTTCCGGTTAGGCCTTGAGCTCTGTTTGGCAAAAACCCGGGGCTGCTTCGCTCCCATGCAGGGAATTTGCGACGTGCTCTTTTCAAAACGAAAACGGAATGACTCTTTTTGGGTTCTCGTTAACCTCAAAGAGGCGAAACAGGAAAGCAACTAGATCTGCAAAACAAGAAAGCAACGAGACCTGTCTGCGGGAATGACTGCTTCTGGGAGGCAAGGAGCTGTTTTTAGTGCAGACCCTTGTTTTTAAATGTGTATGTCTTGTTATTAATTAAAAAAATCCCCAACTTCTGGCTGTTCTCTGGCCTCTTCTTCAGATTGCCTACTGTAGTAGGTAGGAGGCAAGCTAGGGTCTAGATTTATCCCCGTTTCCTGTATCCCACCTACTCTTTTACGGATACGTCTGTTAGTTGCATTTAGGCACGATCTGTCTTCCAGTGACTTTGCTTTGGAATTCATGCCTGTCTTCCCCCCTGTCACACAACAACCGTTAGTTATTAGGTAGTGCTGGCTTAGAGCCCTTGACTAGCCAAATCTGCTAGTGTTCAAGGGAGACACACCTCAGAAGATTATGGGCTGTCGTTCTAACTGGTACACCAGAGATGCAAGCCCCATTAGGGTTGCTATAAGTCGGTTCCAGCTTGACAGCACACAACAACACCATGCAGTGGATCTTAGATTAGTAAGATACAAGAGAACAGAATGAATTATTTTTGTGGGCTCATACTTTTGCCTATTCTTCTTCTGTTTGCCCACACCAAGGGGTTTGTATAATGTCTGTGTTTCTAGATTCAGAGCCTTTTTTTGTTTCCAATACAGGTTTTCTATTAATCACAAACAAGGAAAGGAAAAGTAGCCATCTAAAGCCCTATACGAATAAAATCCTTGTGAGTATCCAATGCCTTAGAAACTTGTCTTTGATTGAGACCCTGAGTGATTTCCCCATTTATTAGCTACGGCCTTTGCAGAGGCAAGAATACTTGGTGGGTTCAGCATTACAAGAAGGTTTAAAGAAAGCACCGAGGCACTTAAAGAGCCAGCATCCAAAGCCACAAACTTCATCTGTAGATAAACCACCACAGGATGTTCCCAAAGGAGCCTTTTTATTGGGATCCAGAGAATAATTTCTTCCCGTTGTAGCTCTCCCGAATGCTTCCATCTGCTCCTCCGTGGTTTCTCACATCCATCCATGGAAAGGAAACACGGGAGAGCAAGCTGCTCGGTGCCTTTTAGATTTTATTGGTGCTTGGAATTGTTAGACGGGGAGCCATCCATGTGCTGATAAGGAATGGAAATGGAGAAGGAAGACCCTATGGCCCTCCAGATGTTCATGGCATCTGGAATGTAACTTCATCTGGAGGGACCACGCTTCTCACTTCTCTGCTGCCTGCCTACAACAGTCAACAAACAGCTGGTGTTCCTTTCGCTATTTGCTAGATTTAAGCTCCAACTTTCCCCCCTTAAGAGCTCAAGTCGGCGTGCATGGCCGCCTGCCTCTCCACCACGCCTTCGTAACAACTCAGCAAGGCAGAGCAAGATGAGCGTCTGGGATTGGTCTAAGGACACTCAGTAATCTTTGTGGCCTGATGGGAGTTTGAGTTCAGTTACCCGAACTTTTGTCTGATACTCTAACTGCTATACCACACTGCTTCTGCAAAAAACAAACATTGGAGAGAGCGCTCATTCCTGTTGTGTGAAGAAAGGATTAAAACAGTGGGTTGCAAACTCCAATCGAGTACTTATTCATGGCTGCATATCTTCCAGAATGTTTGGGTGGGGAATACGGGCTTTCCAGATGTTAAGGGACTATATATCCCATCATCCTTCCCCTTGACTATGTCAGCTAGGGTGCATGGGTGTTGGAGTCGAAACACGGGGAACCCGCCCCAAGTTGCCCAGCCCTGCAGTAAGTAAATCGTTGGAGGCCTCGCCTTTTCAAAGACCAGAATTTGTGTGAATAAATATATTCAGTTTCTTGGCAGCAGTGTAACTATTTCCACAATTTCTGTTAGCTTCCTAAGCTTGCATGTGTGGTGGGTATTGTGCACACCCCGCACAAAGTGCATGGCGTGCATATCATTGCTGCTGCTGCTGCTGCTAAGAAATTGAAGAGAGAGAAAAATATGTTCTCGTATTTGGCTTATTTTCAGGTTTTCTTAATATGCAGACATACCCAATTAGAAGGAAGCCCAGCCCAAAACAGAGAGAAAATGAATAATAATGATAATCGTAGAACTACGGAGCTGGAAGGGACCCTATGAATCAATCACTGAGTCCAACCAAGGAGGCACCAAGGGGGAATCGAACTCCCAACCTTTGGCTCTGCAAACTAGGGAGGCGGAATCGAACTCCCAATCTTTGGCTCTGCAAACTATATCCCTAAACCCCTGAGCTATCCAGCAGTTCTAGGTTCTTGATCATCTTAGAACTGCAGAGCTGGAAGGAACCCTGGAAGAATCGTGGAGCCCAGCCGGTCAAAGAGGCACACACTGGGGAATTGAACTCGCAGCCTTGGCTTGACCACTGAGCTGCCCAGCTTCTGAGGTTCTTGCTCCTGAGTAAGCCTGCAGAGACCCTCGGGAAAGAGGAAGGCTAAGGCTCCTCGGTAGAACTTTCCCTCTGTGTAGGAGAATCCAGTCGGAAACACCGAGGTTCCCTTCCAAGTATGTCAACGGGCTGCCTCCCCATTGGAACACGAGTAGGGACTGGATCCATGGTGCCTTCCCAGATGGAGGAAAGGTGCTAGCAATGAGAGGGGGCTTTGTGGGTGGGCGGATCAGGGCCGGGGCAGGTGCGGTGGGTTTGCGGGAACAGTCTCATCAAGGAGAGGCACGTCTGGAGGGATTTAAAGACTAGCATGAACGGGGATAAGAGGAACGTCGTGCTGGCTGGGCAGGGGGATGTTGCAGTAACTCGGACCCAGGGATCGGGTGAACCTTGGAGAGGGGGGAGGCACTGCCTGGACGGGGTTACCGCCTGAAGGAAGATGCATGCCGGGCAGCAGGTTCTCCTCTGCTGGCTCCCCTTGCTTTGGGCTGGGGGGAACCCCTCTGTCAGGGGGAAGGAGGGCGAACTCTGCCGAGCCTGGAGGTACGGCGAAACATCTCGGGCCGGTGGGGCGTTCCAGTGTCCGCAGCGTCACGACAGAGCGGAGGCCAAGTACTGTTGCGGGAATTGCCGCCTCCCTTTCTGCTGCTCAAGGGGAGAGGCCCGCCTGGACTGGCGCCGGTGCCGCCGCGCCCTTCCCAACCCGGCTGGTGTCACCCACCCTCAGCGACCCACGCCCGTGGCGACAGACCAGCCCTTTGAGACCACTGCAAAGACAGGGGGGGGGGGGGAGGTCCAAGCTCTCTCAGTTGAAGCATGGCCTTCATCACTTTAGGGATGCTGTGGTCAATTGAGTTGGGTCCTTGGCCCACCTCTCCCTCTCTGGGGCCTTCCAGTGAGCAGGTTGGTTGGGGAGGATGAGAGCTGTAGTCCGGCAGAACATGAGGGCCTTAGAAAGGGGCACGTTGATCCAAGACCACATGGCCTGATGCTGGCCAAAGATTCGTCTATGGGTTCCTAGGGTGAGGGCCCCTTTGCCAAACTGCTGCCTGAGGCCGCTCCTGAATCTTTGCAGGGTTTGGACCCTGACGCTCCTGTTTAGAAAGAAAGCTCCCAGCTTGCACTGGGGCAGGAACAGGAAGCTTGGGTGGAGCAAGGCCTGGCTTAGCCTCCACGCCTTCCAGTTGAGGCCTTTTTCTCCCAGGTGAGCCAAAATGTAGTTGTCAGGAAGGCAGGTAGAATTCTGGAATACGGGTTATATCTAACTATCTAACTATCTAACTATCTAGCTAGCTAGCTTTAAAGGCCTTATCCTCAGTGGCATGCTGGGTTAGGAGGTGTTGATTGTGTTTGTTTGCTTGCTTGCATGAAAAATCCTGTGTTTTCTGTTTCTAGGCTGGATTACGCTTGTCTGTGTTGTAGTGTTACTACTTGGTGTAACCCTTTGCCTCATTCTCAGCCATTGCAAAGACAGGCAGCAGCGTCGGCAGAGAGCCCTCTGGCTTAGAGGCATGCTCAACAACAGAAACTCGTTCAACTACGAAGACCTTTTCCCTCCGCCTCCTCCTCCTCCACCGGGACTGTCTTTCTTCCCTGACAGTCCTCCCCCCTATGCTGAGGACCCACCACCCTATAGCGTTGAGGATCCTCATGCGAACCGTCCTCCTTCGCCTCCGTTGCCGGTGGTGTATTTCCATTCTGCAAGCACTGAAAACGAGGAAGATGAAGTAACCATCGGGCCCCTGGTCCACCGAAATGTTCCTAGCCATTGCTCAGAGATGGACTCGGTAAGGGATACTTCGGTAGACCAGTGATGGCCGGGAGGGTTGACCCACCTGGAAGACGTGTTAGGTGGCATGTCTACCCTACATAGTTAATAGTAGTTTGATGCCACTAAATTGCTATGCCTTCATCCTGCTGAACCTTTGGGTTGGTAGTTTGAGAAAACACAATGAATTATCTGCTGGAATTTGGAGAAGCACAAGAGAACTCTTTAGCAATGAATTCTAGGTCCAGACTATAAACCCCAAGGTTCTATAGGATGGAGCCATCAGCATTAAAGTGGGATCAAACCGGTATTAACAGTGTAGGGTTGATGCATTCCAGGAATGGAGTCCCATCCAAAAAGGCCATAGCTGGATGGTCAGATGTAGAAGTCCGTCCACTGTATTCGTTGATGCTTTTAAGAGTGTGTGTTCATGACATGGACTACTTGACCAACATTTTAATGGTATATGGACATTTTTAATGATTTGGAACAGCACGGAGATGCTCCCAGGCCTCCCTCCACCTCCCCATTGATGAAATTGTACAAGAAAGAGAGATGGGACGTATCCATCCTGCTGTATTTGATCTTCTTTGGGATTGGCTGGTCAACAGTTCAATGAAACAGGGGGGGAAATGCACCAGAAAGGTGAACTCTCCTCCTTTCTATGGGATACTTGAAGGGTTTTCTCAAATGGAGATCACAGGTTATGTGTCTAAAACAGCCTGGGACTGATTCGTGTCCAGGATGAGAGCATGGGGGGTGGGGGTGGGGGAGGAAGACTCTGAACAAGCTCCTTCCAGTCCAGAACACGCCCAAAGAAATGTTTGTGAGAGGCAAGGAACTGTTTTTAGTGCAAGTGCTTTTTAAATGCATGTCAATAAATGTATGAACCTACTTGTTAATAAAAGCTGTGTATGTGGTCAGCCTCTGGTCTTGGTGGGGTGATTTGTCTGAAAGAGGTTCTGCTGGGGTCAAGATAGACCAACTATGGCCGAAGCTGATCTACCTGCTTTCTGTAGATCTTCTACGTAGGCCGGTTTTAAGGACTTCTCTACTTGTATATCAGTCATATGCACAACCCACCTTTCTTCCAATGAGCTCAGCTCCATATCTTTCTTCCTCCCTCTGATATATATTGAGTGGTTGGTTTCACTTCATTATCTTCACAAGGAGCCTGTCAGGTAGGTCAATTTGAGAATAAAAGACTGAGGTCACAGACTTCCGGGCCTCTGTATCTTTTGAGATTCTGCTTAGGGCTGTGCATTGTCTCTGGATCAATAAGTAAATTCAGGATGAATTAGAACAGAGTGCTCAACTCAGCAGATTGCCACTACCCCGGTTCTCTCCTGTCTATACCCCAATGACCCCCAAAACTCTGGGACCCAGTCCTGTTGTGCATCTTATTATGACCAGGCATTGCATTTCCACAGTCACAGGAAAGAGGGTCCCCCCCAAAGAGATGTGCAAACACACAAGCACTTATCCAGATTTGAACAAGGATTGGATTTAAGGGTCTCCAAAAAGGGTAGAAGGCAAGCTGAGCACCAATCACTGTGCTCTTGCTGGGTGGGACTGAGTGCTATATATCCCTAATCTCCTTGCACCCAAGCCTTGGTCTGCAATAACTTAAATTTTTGTTGCTCACTTAGAACAGTGGATGTCAACCTCCCTCCCCCACCAATTATTTGGGGCTCCAGCCCCCAGAATCTCTGATGGCTGGCAATAATTGTTAGGGTTTCTATGAACTGAAGTCCAAACCATCCAGAGAACAAAACACAGAGAGCCACTTTACATGAATTATCCAAAGGGCAGAACATACAGTACAGTATTCTGGAGGAAATATACACGTTCAGGACCTTGGAGAGCTTCTGTTAAAAAGACTGGGGAAACCCAGGGTGAATTCATAGTGCTCCTAAGTTGGCATCATCAGCCACTATTGTGGCCACGAAACAGGGGGCCTTTTCCTGCCCTTTGCCTAAGGGAGGGTGAGGCGACCCGCTTCCCCTTTCTCTAACCATTTTTCCGTGACACAGCTTCATCTCTTCTCATGCCTACAGAGAAATCACACCCACCCACCTAAACATTGGCCTGGTGTCCCACCATCATCATCTCATGGCACGTCTCTGTCCCAAACACCAGAAGGGTTTTGCAGACCTTTTCCTGACACAAAACCAAACCAGACCAGAATGTTGTGGCACCTTAAGGATGACCTGCTACTGTATATTTGAGCGTCAGCTTTCGAACTCCCAACCTCTGGTTCCATAGCCAGATGCCGAAACCCCAGAGCCATTCAGTAGCTTTCACTCCTGTAACTTCTCTCTTTTTTTGCCTTTCTGTGAGGAGTTGACCTCCTTCAGCGATGGGTCCCCTCTTCACACACCTGTCTTAGAAATTGGGTGGAGGCCTCCTCGTCTGCAGGGTTACTTCCTCACTCAATTTAGTCATCTTGGATGGCTCCCTGTCTCTTTTAGGGCTCTGTGCTGGGAGGGGTGGCCCAGGTGTGTCTGCTGAGCCAAGCCTGTCAGGCTAAACTGAGCACAATCTAAAGCAAGTACACAATAAAATGGTGATGATGAGGAAATGCTGGAGGAGAAAAGGCGAGGTGGGCAGCTTGCTGGATACCTTACACCTGGTGAGACGCCTCCTGCTTCTAGGCAAGGATTAAAGGTTCTCTCTTGTGACCACCCGGTCTGCTTTCCGACTGAAGCCTCCATGTATTTATTAGAAAGAACAAGGGAAAAGCAATGGGGTGCCCCAGGTTAAACAGCCATAATCATAGGGGGTACCTTTTCTTGGGTCACTGAAAAAATCAAACAAACTGCAAGCTTTCATCGGAGGGAAATGCCACTTCTTCAGGCTCAGCAGAACCCATAGTGAAAAATAAAATTGCAGACCAGTGTAAAAATTGGTGCCTTATGAAAGCTGATATCAGTCAGAGGACTTGAGCCTCTGTGGAGCATGGTTTGGGATTTTCACACCCCTCTCCTGGGACCCAAAGGTTGTCCATTATTCTGTGATTGTCCCCCACACAGACACACTCCAAAGGCCTGCTTTAAAATCACAGTTTCTTTTGGGCGTTGGAGGTGAAGAAAAACAACACAAAGATTTATTAGTTTGATGTACCCAGCGAGACATGCTGTGTGGCAGTGATGCACTCTCCGCCCTCAGAGGGTGATGATGGACCACTATCGGAGCCAGGAACCTCCTCTAGCGTGCTGTTTTGTTAGCAGGACAGCTCTGGGACCCAAAAAGCAAACTTGCTTGGCTGCGACCACTAGGCCGCATGGCTGCCACCTCCTGTGACTATTTTGGGGGGCATAGACAGCGTCTCCTACTGTGAATGCGTTTTCCGCCCAATGCAGGGGATCCCCTTCCCCGGGAAAGTGGCACGGGGGCTCCCGCTGCCGGGCCCGATCCCCTTCACGCTTCCTGGCCCAGGTGGCTCCCCTTTGACTCGAACCACACTCTCGCGGGCGGCGTGGCAGAGGCCGGCCCCAGGAAGGCTGACTCTAGAGGAAGCCCAACTTCGCCCGAGGTTGCGAGGCAGACTTCCTCGGGAGTTGAGCTGGCGGCGTCGGACTTTTGAGTAAACGCATTATCTCTTGCATGGCCAGCGCCCTCCTCCCCGTATGTCCGTGTGGGAAGGATCGTTTGGGGAGAGAGGTGGCCACCGGCTTCCTCTGGCGGCGCGGATCGGGGCCCCGCCAGCTGGGGCCGCTTTTCTCCCCGACAGCGCCTCATCAAGGGGAGTTTCTCGACCCGGGTATAAAGCTAGCTTGCCGAAGGGGCTTGTTTCCAAGGGTGGGGGGTTGTCTCGGATCGGGAGGGGGGGGGTGTCAGCCGTCTTGGGGAGGGGGGAAAAGTGAGAATCGGGGGCCATGGAAAGGACTCTGCTGGGGGCCCTCGGCCTTCTCTTGGCTCTGGCGGGGGCCTCGCTGGAGGACCAGAAGGGCGAGGAGTGCTGGGCTTGGACATACGGTCCGGCCTCGACGATGTTCCCTTTCCAATGCCCGAAGAGCCTGGACGGGGCGGACGCCCGCTTTTGCTGCGGCCCTTGCCGCTCGCCCTTCTGCTGCGCCTCGGAGGAGGCCCGCCTGGATCAGAAGCAGTGCCTGCGCGCCCTGCGGCGGCTGGGTGCGCTCCCGAGCGCCCCGGTGGAAGGAACGCGCCTCCCCTCCGCTCGGCAGGCGCTGAAGAGGGTCAGGAAGGACCAGGGCCCGGGAGAGAACACCAGCCGCCCGCCTCCCCGAGAGCCGGCGACCCTCCCCAGCGGCCACGCCGCCCAAAGAGAGGAGGCCCGCCCTTACACCCTCAGGCCAAGGCCCACCCTGCCTCCGGGGAGGACTCAACCAGGTAAGAAAGGGCGCTTAGGAAGGGTCCCGTGGGAGATATTGCCCCCCACCCCGGAATGTCGGTTACTTATCGGCTCCATTCGGCTTTCGGCTGGAGCTAGAATAGTTCTTTTTCCTCGGACAAAGCCCCTCTCCAATCTGCAAATCCCACCAGTCCATAGGAGACTGGTGGAAGAGTCGAGTTTGAACTGCTCTAAGGGTGTAGTGCAGACATATACTCTTTAGGAGCAGAAAAGGCTGCTGCTCCTGCGGTTTTCTTAGAAAAGGTAGGGACCCTCTGTCCCTTTCCGCATGCTTTGTCATTCTGGCCTAATCCTGTGGAATCCCCAAGCATTTCAAGGTGTTAATAGGAAGAACCCCCTTCTCCGCCCTGCTGCTTAAGATGGAGGCAGTGGGGGTACTTCAGCGAGAAAGCCAGGCGCTATAGCCCATGAAATGTCTCTTCCGCAAAAGTTGTGTCTAGTAAGCTCCCAGCCCACGCTTATAAAATGGGACTCCAACTCACAGTCTCCTCTAGATGGGGAGCTGTAGTTAGTGTTGGAGCTGGAATGGGCAGCTAAGAGCCACTGGCTTTACAAAAGACCCCCCCCCACACACACACACACCTTATTTGTTGAAATGCATGGCTACACTCGCTTGCAGTTGGTTGGTTATGGGGACTGTTATGAGGAACACTTCCTACAATTTTTTTTACCACCCCTCTGGGCTGGTGGGTGGAAAAAGTGGGGTAGAGATTTTATCTCTCGGTACACTGCATAGCAATTTGTGACTGACCTTTCTCCTGTTTCCAGGGATACATGGATTCATCTGGGTTCTCCTTGGAATAGCAGCTATTTTAGCCGTTTTCTGTGCTATCTGCAAATTTTGTCCCAACCCCCAGGAATGTTACACATACCTACGGCACGGTCAGTTCACCCCTCCCACCCCTCCTCCGGTGCACTACAGCGTCCGACCTCCCAGCCCTGCTGCCGTGCACTTTGACATTGGCCCTCCACCCTATCAGAAAGATGATGATCTGCCGCCTTACTATCTTCGGAATCCTTTCGACGCCTTGGCTCGCCCTACTGCACAGGACAGGGCTGCTTGCATGGAGCTGGGTGTCATAAACCTTGGCTTCCAAGAAGGGGGAGCAGCTACGGCATCATCCGTGGCCCGTGTGGATTCCTCAGCTTCTGATTCTACAGGAGATTCTGCTGGCACAGGAGAAGTTGCTGCCAAGCAGGTGCCCTCCTGTGCAGGAGAGGTTGCCAGCCAGCTGGTGCCTTCTGGCGCAGGACAGGTGGTGCCTTCCGGCGCAGGACAGGTTGCTGCTCAGGTGGTGCCTTCCGGTGCAGGACAGGTTGCCGCCCGGGTGGTGCCTTCCGGTGCAGGACAGGTTGCCACCCAGGCGGTGCCTTCCGGTACAGGACAGGTTGCTGCCCAGGTGGTGCCTGCTGCCAAAGGAGCGGTCATATCAGCGCCGGAACCTACCAGGAAGAGAAAAGCTGGCCCATTTGCAATCTACTGGGAAAGCAAAGAGTCAGAACTGTAGCTGAAGATTTCATGACGCTTGGCTCCTCTGCCAAAGCAAAACCCTTCTCCGGGTGTATTACTAATTAGTTTGTTTTTAGAATCAAGGGGGATTAGAAATGAACAAAGCCCAATCGTGATTATGCTTTTAATCTTTTTCTTAAATTTTTTTTGTAGGACTGTCTTTGTTGAATATTTTTGCTCAAAATGATTCTTAATCCTTTTTTAAAAAAAACACACACACAACACCAGTATGACGTAACGATTAGTGTGGAGTTATTTCACAGCACCCCACCTTTCCCCAGTCTTGGGCACTAGTTTAGAGGAACCCTTAAAGGAGCCCCTTGGAGTCTTGTTTGGTCTTCAGCCCCTTTCTGGGCACTGGAAGGACGCCAGCTGGATTGATCATGTCATGCTCTTGATCATTTGCCCAGGAACAAGGAACCGGGGGTGGGTCGGCCGGCCGGCAGGCCCAACACCCAGCGCTCTGTCTTTCCAGCATAAACGAACAGTTCTATGGAAGGACTTTTGCTCAATGAGAGCCAAACAGAACTTGAAGGGGCATTGCAATTAAATCAGGGTTAGGTAATCTGTGGCCCTGCAGGTGTTGGTGGATTTCAAGTCTCATCATCCCCAGCACCTACAGCCAGTGATAGGATTTGTGCTCTTAAGAACACCTGGGAAAGTCATGTTATCCAATCTCTGACACACAGGAATATTTGGGGCTCGAAATAGACAGAAGCTAAAGCAGTTCTTTAAAATGACGCATTACCATCAAGATTTTCTGTGACTGGCACCTCTAGTTCTTCTATAGCAGGGAAATGGCAGATCTTGCAGTTCTGTGGGGTCAGTATCAAGTTGCTTAGGAAGACCGCTAAATAAGTAAAACGTAGGGTCTGTTTCTGAGATATATTGAACTTGTGAAGATGTAACAACATGTTGAAATTGCCCTACGGGACACTTAGCTGACTTGGTGCATTTAATTGCTCTAGCTAGGCAAGCCTACCTAAGATTTGATTTAATGGCAGATCTTGCAGTTCTGTGGGGTCAGTATCAAGTTGCTTAGGAAGACCGCTAAATAAGTAAAACGTAGGGTCTGTTTCTGAGATATATTGAACTTGTGAAGATGTAACAACATGTTGAAATTGCCCTACGGGACACTTAGCTGACTTGGTGTGTTTAATTGCTCTAGCTAGGCAAGCCTAACTAAGATTTGATTTTCCTGGGTTTCCTCTAAGTTTTAGTGTTCTGAATAAAAGTCTAGACGTTGGCATCGGCCAAGGGAACATCAACACGACCAACACAGGTTTATCTACGCCAAGGATTTTTAACCTCAAGAATTGTTCGACTGCTTCTATATATTAATGCCAAAAGAGGACAGGAAGGTGGCATAGACTTTCCTGAATGGCCTTTTTCTGAAATGCAAGGAGCTGTTTTCAACACAGACACGTATCAAATGCATGTTTTCTGATGTACTGTATGTGTATCACTGAATCACCAATAAAGTTTGTCCTATTTTATTCCTGGCCTTTTGATTTTTGTTCAACTTCTAAAGTATTTTGCAGCTACAACCTAAAGAAGGTATAAGGTGCCAGCAATATGTAAAAGACAAGCAGGTCCTTTCTCCGTTTGATATCTGGGAAGGCTGGCTGGTGGTTCTCTGTGTAGGAGTGATGTGGTTACTACTACACTTATTTTCCTATGGTTTGGAGAGAGGTAGATAGGTTATTTTGGAGTGTTTTGGGCTACAAATCCCATAACTCTCCATTCTGGAAGTTCTGCCAGAGAGATACCTTACAAAGATGGCCACCAAAATTTGGCTCGCCTGGGATAAAACCACCCCAAACTGGAAAAGTTTGAGGCCTAGTTTCCTATTGAGAAAGAAAGCTCCCAGCTTGCACTGGGGCAGGAACAGGAAGCTTGGGTGGAACAAGGCCTAGGTAGGCCTCAAAGCTTTCTGGTTTAGGTCAAGTGAGCCATATTTAGTTATCTGTAAAATGTCAATCAAGAATGGAGAATTATGGGACATGTAGTCATAAAAATCTAAAAATTCCATCCTTAAGAGTTTTATTATCATCTCTCAGCAATCCCATTTTAAAGTGACTTTAGGATACCAGGATACCAATATTCAATATTTCAACACACTAAATTATAGCCATATGAATATAATGGGTGCTTTCAAGTGTCCAAGAAGCCATGAAGCATGCTGAATAGCTAGAACATCCATTGCCTAGATGGGACTTGTTACCCAGAGTGGATGAGAGTTCTGTGTGAAATGAGAGGACCACGTTGGGGAAGGCTGATCTGCTGTGTACACCCTTCAAGTGATGATGCTCTGAGAGCCTCTTTCTTAAGGCTTAGAACCTGATGACTCTGGAAAGGCAATAAATTCTGTATTCTGGTAGTTCCCAACCTTGGGTCCCCAGATATTCTTGGACTACAGCTCCCAGAAACCTTCACCATTAGCTGTGCTGGCCAGGATTCATGGGAGTTGTAGTCCAAGAACATCTGGGTTACTCAAGGTTGGGAACCACTGCTCCTGTTGAGTTCTGATGAGCGCGCTCGTAAGGCGTGTCATCATCTTGGACATGGTATATAACAGGAGGAGAGCTCTTGGTTGGTCGTATTCACAACTCAAAAGGGAGGTGCGGGCTTGCGTTTTTCAAGAACCAGAGGAAAATGTAACTTTCTTCCATCTTTTTGCCTGCCATGAACTACAGCCACTGTTGGCAGTTTCCAATATACTGTAGCCTCAGCCTTCAAGGCAGGCTGCTGCTTGCTACAGTCCCAATAAAAATGTGAATTTAGCTTATCTATCACAAAGGCAGAAGCGGGGAAAAACTAGGTATATATCTAACAAATATGTTCTCTCTCTCTCTTTAAAGCCATGTAGCCCTTGTATACAATCCACAGGCAATGGCAGGTAATATGTCTATTGAACCACTTAAAAAAAAACATAACAGATGCTAGTTTTCAGCCTGCACACCAATTATTCACGGACAGGGCAGGGAAAAAGAAAAACAACTGTGTCAGAAGTCCTGGCTAGGGGCCCTCTTTCTTTGAAACGAGTTTGCAACACGAGGGGTGCAAAGATAAGCTAGAAGCGCTGGTTTGAAACTCCACCCGCCCATTCTCTGGGGCAGTTACGATCAGCAACACCCAAAGTGGAATTAGAAGCCTGTATGGGCTGAAAGCTGTGTGCATTCATTATTTTCTTTTTGTGGTTTAATAGAAGTAATACCTAACTTTGGATTAGGGGCATATCTGCCTTCTAAGCAGCAAAGAATGCTTTGAGAAGACCCCCCCGGGCAAACCTTGCAAATAATAAAAAATGCAGGGTAAGATCTTTTAGCAGACGAGCACCAGACACGATGCAGTTATATAATGGTTTGATCCTGCTGGAATGGGCTGGGCTCTCAGTCACCCCCCTGCTCCTAATTTTGCAAGTGCTTGGAATTCACTCTGGTAATTTCAGGGAAGTGTAGGGGAGTTTTTCTAGCTCAAGCGTCTGTGCCTTTTTCCAGACGACAAATTCCAGGATGCTGGGCCCTTTAGACTCCAGACGTCAGAGAGCGCAAGCAGAGATTTAAATAAATAAATGAACAATGCGGCAGAAACAGGATCGATGGAGGATATCCTCCAGATTTGAAAAGGGAACCTGGGCACTCCCGGGGTCCTGATTCTGCAAAAAAACGAGGATGCTCGGTGGCTCTTCTACACATGAGGAAGGTGCTACTGAGCGATCCCTCTTGCCACCCGTCTTCACAGGACGGAGCTGGCAGGCACGGGAGAAGGCGCAGCCTTCTGGATGTGGTTGGACTACAACACCCATCAACCACAGCGGGTGCAGCCGATGGTGAGAAATGATGGGAGCCACAGTCCAAAATCTAGAAGTCCCACCCTCTTCTCTCTAGCATTTTTAGCCACCCTACTTGATTGCAGTGGGGAGAAGGTGGGATCCTGAGCTCCCCCAGGGCTTATGTCTATGCCTTTACTTTAAAAAAATGCGACATTTTTACCCCATCTTTCTTCCAAGAGCTAAGGCAGTATAAATGGCTCTTTCTCTCATTTCCTGCTTTAACTCCACAACATCCCTGCCAGGCAGGCCAGCCGTTGGCCAGCGACTGGCCCAGGGTTCGGAGGAGGGAGGGAAGCATCGCTCAGACTAGTTCTAGCACTGCACTCCAACTGCTACATCCTACTGCCTCTCGCCACGTTAAACATGGGTTCAACTCATATTTTAGAAAGGGGCAAGCTCCATTAAGAGCCCCGCTCTGGTGCAGTGGGAAGACTGGGAGGCAGGATGCTTGAGTTCGAATCCCCTCTTGGCCAGGAGACCCATTGGAGGTGAGGTTGGCAAATGCAAATCCTTGCTTCAATATCTCACCTACTTTGAAAACCCAAAGAACTGCCAGAGAGCTCAGGGGTGTAGGCATCTGAGGGTGGGAGTTCGATTCCCCAGAGGGCCTCCTTGACAAGGGCAGAACTGCATGATCCAGAGGATCTCCCTTCCAGCTTTGCTGTTTTAGGATGATATAGATCTGCAACATGAATTTGACCCAGCTCCGGGGGGTGGGGGGAGCGTGGAAGGCAGGAGGGCCTGGCCTGCACTGGTCCATGGGGTCAGAAAGAGTCGAACACGACTTAAGGACTAAACCACAAAACAGATCTGCAAACCTGGAAGGGACCCTACAGATAATTGATACAGGGTCGCTATAATTTAGAAGGGGTTGAAGGGACTTGTGCCTGAGTAAATGGAAAAAAGAGGCTTTGGTCTCTTTTGGAGCAGGACCCCTTTCCCTGGAGGAAAGGAAGATTGAATGGAGGTGTCTTAAGTGCAGGTGGGGATCGGGGCCAAGCCAGCTGAGCCGAGTTGAGCTCACCAGCAATTCACGTAGGAGACCTTCCTTTGGAAGGTCGACATGAAAGCCAGTCCGGTTGGAGATTTAAGCCTCTTTCGGTCCTGGCGACGATTTAGTGGACAAGGAAAGTAACTGGGGGTGGGGGGAGCCCCCTACTTCCTCATGCGTCCTGCTTGGTGAGAAGCGTGCCTTATGGATCGGGTTCTGCTGTGCGCCCTGGCACCGTCCGGGGCTCCCCAGTCTGGCCAGGAGGAGTCTCTGGGCTGCACCTGGAGGTCCGAGACTGAAGCCACGAAGGTTGCCCGTCTCCTGCAAGCAGCGACACGCGGAGCAGCCAAGGGCGCCTTTGGTATGTGAGAACCCGCTGCTCGGTTGTTGCCCTCCAGGAAAAGAGGGCTGAATAAGCTGAGCGCAAAAGCAGGCAAGAGGAGTGGGAAGGTGTGGGAAGACGGCAGGTGGAGGGGCTATCAGAACTTGGAAAAGTTACTTATTGGGCAAGTTACCTCCAGAATCCCACCCTCACCAGCATGGCAGGCTGAACATGTTTTGTGAAGAGGAGAAAATGTCTGGGATCTGTAATGTAAAAAGGAATTTTCAAAGTTTTGGGAAGATAATCTGAAATATGAGCCTGCCTTTGCTCTGAGTTGGCCCATAAGCCTCTTTTGCTCAGGCTTTTCTGTCCACCCCCTTGGCTGTAGGGTGGGGCAACTGAGCTGAAGTCCCTTCCTCATATCACTGTTGCCATCTCTGGTCTACACCATTGAACTCCTCAAAACACCATATTATCAAAATTGGAAAACGATTTGTAGCTCGAAGTCCCTTCCTCATATCACTGTTGCCATTTCTGGTCTACACCATATTATCAAAATTGGAAAATGATTTGTAGCTCAGTTTGTTTACTGACTGACTGACTGACTGACTGATTGACTGACTGACTGACTGACTGACTTACTTACCTACCTATGGCCCAAATAAGATACCAACAAAATTATCTAAGCTCAGAAAATGGGAGGGGATGTGATGTGATAAAAGGCAATACAATTTTTCTTTTGTTCTTTCTTCCTAGGAGAATGGAAATACTACGCGTTTCTCACCACAATATTTGTTGCTGTATTAGTTTTAATTGGCCTCTTCTGCTTTTACTCCAAATTCCGGAACTGTGCCCAGTCCTGTATTAGGCGAGATCCTTTTGAAGAGCTAGAAGAGGATGATTTTGACATTCCTTGGGAAACCAATCTCATAGAGCGCCCCGAGCCCTACGGTGCCTGCATAAGCCCACCCCAAAGCATATCCGGCGGAAACACCCGAGTCTCCAGGAATGAGGATGTCCGGTTGCCCTTTGCTCCAGCAGATCTTGGGAGAAGACTGGTGTCTCGTTCCCCATCTCATACCCTTCAGGGGATTGTTGGCCCTGGTTTCCCCTCAGAGACTCTTGGTGAGAGGACCGGCCAAGGTTCCTCCTCAGAGAGTATCTTTACCATAGAAGACCTGGAGTAGATGGTGGTATTTTTGACTGTCCTCTCAGGCCAGCTCCTGATACACTTCGCAAAGAAACAGCATGTAGAATCATAGACATATTACTTTCAGGGTTATACCAATGAGATATGCAGTGCTTTTAATTGACTCAACCAGTGGTTCCCAACCTTGAGGAACCCAGGTGTTCTTGGACTGCAACTCCCAGAAGCCTTCCCCACTCACTGTGCTGGCCAGGGTTTCTGGGAGTTGTAGTCCAAGAATATCTGGGAGACCCAAGGATGGGAACCACTGGACTAGATGAACAATGCATTTTTACATGGAGTCGTTCATTTTTCTGAATTTGCCCATGGCCATCTTCCACACCCAAAGCTGACTTGTCTTTGTAATACCTCCATGTCAATTCTTCTCCTATACATTCACTGCTCCTTGAATCGAGGCATTACTTTACCACCATTTAGTTCAAGACCCAAGGTTGGGAACCACTGTTCCAAAGGAATTGCAGTCACTGAGTCCTACCTTGGTGAACAGACTTAGTTCTGCACTGCCCATCATCATTCATCCAAGAGGGGTAAAATATGGAGGTTGTCCTGGACAGAATTCCTTAACACCCAGGTGGACTACTTATTAGCTTTCCATGGATGCCATTCCCACCATCCCTTAGCATCTACTAGGCCTGATGGGATATCCAATCCAGCAACAACTGGAGGCCTACAGCTGCCCAGATCTTCCTGAACTATTGCACTGAAACAGGACTTCCCAACTTTGGGTCCCTGGGTGTGTTCTTTTAGCATCTACTAGGCCTGATGGGATATCTAATCCTCCTGAACGATTGCCACTGAAACAGGGGTTGCCAACTTCGGATCCCCGGGTGTGTTCTTGGACTAAAACTCTCAAAGGCCTTTGCCTGTGCTGGCCAGGATTTCTGAGAGTTGTGATCCAAGAACATCTGGATCACCCAAGGCTGGGAAGCATTACATTAAAATATGGCTGAGTTGCAGTATGATACAGCTGTGGAACCAACAACTGGATCTCTGTATTTGTGGAGGAAATCTTGTTTATTGAGTGTTACTTTCTGTTTATGCAGCTGTTCCTCCTTGCTATGTATTGTCTACCAGATGTCAGAAATGAAAGGGGTGTTTGTGTAGCTCACACAGGAGCAGATACCACAGGTTAACTCAAAGCGTTTTTAGACTTGAGAAGTGTATGAGAGACACCTTTTCTTGAAGAGACAGGCAAAAAATGTGATGCTTCTGAGATTAGGGAACCAGGTGTTTTTTTAAAAGCGCAGACTAGAAGTCTGTTTCTAAATGTATGTACCAAATTGCTAATAAAAGATATACAAAATTTTGAACCTGGCCTCTTGAAATGATGTGTTGGATGTAATAAGATGGTTACTTGTTATCCCATAGTTGTTCAACTGTAATTCAGATCTAGAGACAGTGGAGTGGAGTGAGTCTCAGCGTAGAACTCGAGTCTCCAGCTGCTGAGCCCGAGGTTAGGAGTTTGATTCCCCGCAATGCCTTTTTGATGGAGGCTGGACTTGATGATCTCTATAGGGTCCCTTCCAACTCAGCAGCTCTAAGATCATTATTATAAGACAGATAAAGCATCAAGAGAAATCTGTCTTCAAAGTTAGGGAATAAATTAGAAACTTACTGCTGCCTCTGTGAAATGAATTAACCAAAGGCAGTGTATTTAATTTAGAAGAGTTGTAATCTGTTTTTCTGCTTTTGAAGATTTTCTCTCGCCATTTTTGCCCTCCGGTAACATTGAGCAGCCACCTGGAAATTGCGGAGGCTGTTACTTTGAGTCTTTGGTTTTTGAACACTCAACACATGGGCCAATTTCATCCTGGATTGAATTCCAGCTGTGACGCTGAAGTTGCTGATTCTGGACAGTGAGCATCTTCCTCCCTTTGCTGCCTTGAGAACCGATTTGAATCTAAGTACTAGAGAACAGGAAACAAGTGGATTCCATGTGAAAGGTTTGGCAGGGACACAAAAAGCTTAGAGGAGTCCCCATATCGACTAGAGCCCTGAGATTCAACATGGGGATTCTGGGTTTCATTGCACATCATCACCATCCTAGAACTGTAGAGCTAGAAGGGAGCCTCTAAGGCAGTGGTTCTTAACCTTGGGTTACTCAGGTGTTTTTGGACTGCAACTCCCAGAAGGCTTCACCACCAGCTGTGCTGGCTGGGGTTTCTGGGAGTTGCAGTTCAAAAACACCTGAGTAGCCCAAGGTTAAGAACCACTGCTCTAGATCATTGAGTCCAAGGTGGCACCAGGGAGGAATCAAATTCCTAACCTCTGGCTCTGCAGCCAGAGACTGAAACCAGTTAATACAGGAACTTTTTCAAGTTCTGGAAAATGTACATTTAACACAACCCGCTCTATTGCTTAGTAAGACATAGGAAAATAACACATATAAGTTCCAAGATCAGACATTGCTTTATTTTTGCCTCCTCACTTTTCTCTGCACCTTAAACAGCCCACAAGAACCACACGTGTAAAGAGTTTGGATGAATTGATTTTTGGACTATAACTCCTGGAATCTCCTTGCAAGCATGGCTTGACGACAGCTTAAACCGCATCAATCCAAAATGCCACCAACCCATTCCACTTTTCTGTAAACCTGGTATTTCTGCTGCCTTTCCTCCATTAAATCATCCCAAATCCATCCTGAGTATTTGAACCATGTCCCATCTTCTATTAATCCACCTCTCAGCTGCTGGAAAGTTCAGTTTAGGAAAAAGGATATTTTGAGCGGCTAAACGATTAGTTATTTTCTTGGACAAAACTCTACCCGCTACACTGCACTGCCTCTTGCTCAAACCCTACTCGGAAGCAGATCTTGTTGAAAGTGAGGCTTATTGCTGAGTAAACAGGCATCAGCTGGGGCGTTTACCAAACTGCCGTCCTCTGTAAGATCCTGATTCTGAGCCTACTTAGCAAATATTATTTCAGGGGATTGCAAAGCCCAGAAGGTGGCCGTGCTGGATGGGGCATTCTGGGTGCTGTAGTCCAGAAAAGAAACTTCGCTAAGGTTTGCCACAGCTCAAGTTACTCGAGGGTGAGCGATCAGAGACTTCGGTTCTTCCCGGAGTGCCGGATGGAAAGGAGTAAGCTTCGTAGAACAGGGTGGCTAGAATCCTGTGCGGAATTAACGCGCGCGCGGAGCTCCCGCTGCGTAAGCCGGCGGCCTGCAAACATCAGAGGGCTCTGGCAGTCTGATGAGATGCGCAGGAACAGGATACCGGCCAGGGAGGTTTGCCTTCGGCACAAACCCGAGCAGCCTGATGCTGTCAGCTGGCTGGGAATCGGGGCCAAGAGCGGCTCCACCCGATTGGAACAGAAGCCCTCGGGACCCCGGGGGAGCAGGGGAGAGGAGAGGGCTGGGGATCGGGGCCGGCTCACCGGCGCCAGCTGCCATCGTGGGGCCTCATCAAGGAGCGATGACCATATATACCCCCGCCGGGTGAGGTTGGCTCCTTGTAGGTCCGGCTTCTTGAGCCGGAGGATCGCTAGCCAGGCTGCTTAGAGCGAGCGCCCCTTTACGCGCCATGGAGAGGTTTCTGCTGTGCGCCCTGGTTTTCCTGCGCTCTTTGGACGCCGCGGTTGCGAGAACCGCGAATACGCCGGGACACCGAGCGTGGAACGCCGAGTTCCAGCCCAGCCTCGACGCCTCGCGGTGTCCCCAAGAGGAGCCCCACCAGCACGGGCTCCGCGATGGTCCAGGCGAGGGGAACACTTGCCGCCCAGCCGCCGCCGCGGCTTCCCTGTCGGCCCAGCCCGGCGTGGCTCTGGCCCGGTGGTCCACCGAGGGCTGGCCGGAGGCAAACGCCAGCCGCCCTGAGGGAGGGGAAACGGACGACCCCGCCGCGATCGAAAACAGCGAAACGGGTAAGGAGGCAAGCGCGATGGAGGGGTATGTCCACCCTTTCTGAATTGCGTTTCCGAGGGTGCTTAGGAGCGTGGGAGGCCGTGGGCTGTGCGGGGGTGGGGGATCCTGGGATTTGTAGTTCCCCCCAGCTTTGGTTTGTGTGAGTTCCTGGGGCTTTTCCAGATTCATAATAGATCTCTTAAATCTAATTGAAAAGTGGGCGGGGTGGGGATTTTAAAGAAAAACGTGGGTAATATTTGGTCCTCCAGATGTTGCTGAGCCCAGGGGCACCAATCCGAAGACAGGAGATGGGGGGCGATAGAAGCAATGCTATCGTTGTGGGTTCCATCTCACTATGGGAATTTTGGGTTTATTTTGGACTACAAATCCCATTATTCTCTGTTTCGGGAGTTCTGCTTTACAGACCCACACCTCATAGACACCAGAAGTAGAGCAGCTTCCTTTCTGCACAGGAAGCGGTAGAGCTAGGCCTTAATGTTAGGCCTAGAAAGCTTTTTCTCCAGGTGAGCCACATTCAAGAGGTGGGTTTTCGAGTGCAGCTCCTAGGATGGTGAATCATGGGGCTTGTAGTCCAAAAGAGCCAAAATCCCCACGCCTACTTCCATGAGCTAGTAATTAAATTAAACCAGGAACTGGAATTCCTAAGCCGCCTTCTCTTCATAAGTTAGTGACCTTCTCTTCTATCCCATTCTTTTTCCCCGCTCCTCTAGCGTACTGGGGCTACATGTTTCTTTTCGTCCTGCTACTTCTGGCTGTGCTTGCTTGTTGCTTCTTCTCCTTGGCGTCTCGGAATCCGGCGTCATGGCCAGCCGGCCAGAGGCCTGAAGAATATCTTCTGAGGAAGTACACCCGTCTCCACCGTCCACGAGACTACGGCACACTCCCAAACACAGCCCCACAGTCTGCAGACGGCCAGGACTCTGACACCGTGGGGGAAAACCCCCCACTCCTTGCGCCTGCTGCCGGTCAAGAGGACGCGTTGCCTTCAGCTGGCTTGGGGGAGAGGACGGAGCCGAAGTCTGTGCCAGACACCACTGTGGAAATCGAAGGCTCTACCTAGAGAGTGGAAGACCCAACGTGGTGCATTTATCCAAAAAGGACGCCCTATTCTGGCTAAATTCAGGTTTCTTTTTAGGATCAAGGAAGCAAACCACTGCTATAGGACTGTGCTTTTAATCACACATATTGACTCAAGCTGACTGTTCTTTTAAATGTTGTGACATACTTTTCCAGAAATGGACTGAGCAAACAAGATGTAAATATTTTCCCACTATCCCTGCATGCTGAGTGGTCAACCTGTGGCTCTCCAGGTTTGGCTGGCCTGCAGCTCCCATCATCCACTGGTATGCAGCCCCAGAGTTGATGGGAGAGGCAGTCCAGTCATATCCAGAGGACCCAAATTTGCCCGCCTGTGGGTGACTCTGTGAAGCTTCTGTGGTGCCTTCTGCTCAATGTCTTCACTTTAGAGGAGTGCTTCCCAGCCTTGGGTCACCCAGATGTTCTTGGACTGCAGTTCCCAGAAACCTCGGCCAGACCAGCTGGTGGTGAAGGCTTCTGCGTGTCTCAGTCCAAGAACACCTGGGTGACCCAAGGTTGGGGACCCTTGCTTTAGAGGCCTTGAAGATGAGGGTCAACCTGTCATGTTGATGTGGCTGGACTGGAACGGCCCCACTTCTCCCATTTTAAGTAGTTTCAGTGAAGGAGTTGATGTACTTTAGATCAGCCTTTCTTTGGCCTACACTGGTAGAAAATCTGGCTCCACAAGGGGGTGGGCCTATGAAGTGAGGGGTAGGGCTCCTGTCCTTTTAGCAGCAGCTTAGAAGAAGACATTCCAACAGGCCTAACTTGTAAAACAACATCTGTTCAATTATGAAAGGGACAGGAGTACCACTTGCCATTCCTGGGGCCACCCTGATCAACCAACACCTTTTCTTGTTGGTGCCAAAATGGCACAGCCCCTCTTCCAAGCTTGTCCAAAACCCCAGTGATCAGACGAGGAACCAAGATCTGTTTGCAAAGGCGTTCCACGTAGCCACAGAATCCTGTGAGATGGGAGAGTCAATGTTTCCAGTCAAAACTCCACTGGGAGAGCAGCGAACCGGGGGAAACGAAGCAGAGGTCCCTGAAATGGACTCCTTAAACATTGCCAACGAAGACGCAGGTCAAAACGACTGTTCAGATGTGACGTGAAAGGCTTAGGTTGACCTGGCCTTGTACCAAACCTGCCTCGAGATGTGTGTGTATGAGGGTGGGTGGGTAAAGTACTTTGGCTCAGCTAATATATGACAGATTCTGTTTGTCCGCCCACTCCGACTTGAGACCCACTGTCTTACCCCTGGATAATTGTTTGTGGTGGTTTTGAGGTCCCCACTCACATCAGCAAGGTTGTGTACCCACTTTTGTCGATGAAGCCAAAACAGGCAAACCGCAGGGGTCTTGCCCCTTTGGAACGGAAATGCTCCTGCGGTGCAGGATGCTGTTCTTAGCACAGACACAATGACCACAGCATGTTTTCCAATGTGCACACCGACCTATAAAGATGTATCAATAAAGATTCTGCTCTTGGTGAGTCGAAATGGCTTGGTCATGCCTAGAGTTCTGTTGCTGCTCCTTCAGGGGTATTCCTCCCCCGCCCAATCGAAATCCGCCTTTTTTTGCTCTCAGATGGGAATAATGGATGAGGATGTGACACTGAGCACAGGCAAGCTGGACATAATCCATGATCCTGGACATAGGATGATTATAGAACTACAGAGCTGTAAGGGACACTATAGATTCAGCCCCTGTCAAGGAGGCCCTGTGGGGAATCAAACTCCCAACCTCCAGAGTATAACAATTAAGAGCTATAAGCCATGTTCAGGTATTGTACCTACCTAGGTCATGAGATTGCATGTAAGAGGAACAGGGCATGCATCGACTGCCTGTGCCCCCATTATTCCTGCCCCCTCCTGTCTTAAGGGGGAAGCTCTGCAAGGGCCTTCTCTGGTTTTCTCGGATGTAGACAGGACCTTTCACATGGCCTAACATCTCTCAGGATCCCTGGATGTGCAAAGGTTCTCCTTATGCTGTCATTAAGATGGTTGGGCTGGGAGTTGAAGATCCAGGTTCAGGAAGAGAAGGCAATGCCCGCCCCCAAAGAAAGAGAAAGTGACTAGGATGGGGGAGGGATATTGCTATTTATTTTCCTAATACTATCTAGTACATTTGAACCGGCTGGATAGCTCGGTGATTTAGGGTTGGGAGTCTGATTCCCCACTGGGCTTCCTCCTCCAAGGAGAACCAGCCTGGGTGGCCTTGGGCCAGCTGGCCAGCCCCAGGGTGCCCCTAGAGGAAGGGAAGGGTAAAACACTCCCAAGTATTCTCTTATCTGGAGATCCCTGGAGAGGCTTGCCCAAAATCAGAATTGACTTGAAGGCACATGACGACGAGGATAATGAGGATGATAATATTATCCAGTACATTCACTTTTAGGTTGTGGTGCCTTCTGAAGCCTCACCTGCCCTCCTATAGCTCTGAATGCTTTATGCAGGAATATGGACGGTGGGTTGGAATCTGTACGGTCCCATGGGTCTTGTCCATGTTACTATGCCATGTTCATGAGGTGTGGCCTTTGGGGTTGAGATGCTGGAAGCTTTGAACCAGTGGGGACAATGACAGTCATGTATCCTCGCCCCACCCACCCCACCCCACCTTCTCTGTCCTTCAGAGATGCACTGCAATCCACACGGAAGCCGGGCGGTGGTAGGTTTTTGGTACCTCTTGGTCTTGAAAGATCTGCTAGCTGAACAGATGCCTCAGTGTTGCTGGAGATAAAACCCACAAGGAGAAACGTTGTTGTGAGCTTGGATCAATTTTTATTTATTTAGTTATTAGATTTCTATCCTGCCCATTTAGATCAAGGGTCTACTCTTCAACAGAATTAGACCCCCCTTTGGGAGCATGATGATGAGGACTGTCAGGATGAATCCCTGCTCTTCCATGCAGTCCATGCAGCTGGCCCTTTATGGCCAGTTTCATGCACAGCTCATAGCAAGTGAGTCAAGTTACCTCCAAGCTTGGAAAAACTTCACCTGGTTCCTTCAAAGACCTGCAGTTTAAAAGACACATGAGAACTTCGCCCGGGTTCACTTTGCCTTCAGTCTGGCCAGCAGGTTGCCTCATTGACTGGGGAGTCAGTCAAGACTTACTTCTGAGTAAACAGGATGAAGAATTGCAACGCCTTGGGCACAGAACTGCTGGCAAGGAGCCCTTAGAACCAATAAAGCTCTGTGTGTGTGTGTGGGGGGGGTAATGTGCCCCAGGAGGAAGGACGTCCCGCTGAACCCACTGGCTGGGCTTCCTTCTGAGTAAAGACAAAGAGGAGACCACCAGCGCTGGTGCAGGGATTGGGTTGTTTGTCCACGTGCAAGAGGACCACATTCCGGATGTCCCTCTGTGTATGTGTGTGATCCTATTGCTCTACCGGTTGTTGTGAGCCGCCTCGGGTCCTGTCTTAGTAGAAAGGTGGCATAAAAATTAATAAATCAGCGAACTGCACAATGGATGGTGGATTCAGGAGGGAGAGTTGCGGATCAGGGCCAGGCCAGCTGAGTTACATTTCTCACCAGGGGTGGGTGGAGAGAGTTGACTTGGTGCTTATAAAGGGTGGAGGAGGCAGGTGGGCCAACCCGCAAGGACACGGTGGGGCTACTGAGAGGGGAGGGGGGTCAGGAGACTAGAGGCATCCTCCACCACCACCACTCGGGGCAAGGCAGAGCCATGGGGAGGGCCCAGGCAGGTGTCGTGCTGTTTCTTCTTCTGTGGGGTCCGGGAGACCCCGGGGCTGGAGGAGAGATGTGCCGCTCTTGGATGTTTGGGATCAAGACCCGGTACGGGCCCTTCCGCTGTCCCGGGAAGAAGGACCCAGCTTTCTCCAAGTACTGCTGCGGGACCTGCCTCCAGCCCTACTGCTGCCCCTGGCAGGACCACCGGCTCAACCAGACGGCCTGCTTGACCAGCGGAGACCTTGAGGGCCTCTCCTTCGAAGACCTGGCGGCCATCCCGACCGTCAGCCCTGTGTTGACGACCAGCCCCCCAGCCTTGACCACCACGGCCGTCCGAGCTACCACCCTGGCGGTGCTTGTCGAGAAAGGTAAGGCCTCCCCAGCCAAGGATTGTGCCCAGCCCAAGGAAGTTGGGTTGCTCGCCTGCTTTTCTTCCAAACACCTCCAGGGGGCCAGTTGAGTCATCTCTCCGGTCTCTCTTCCAAAGAACAATAGCCCTACCGGGTAGGTGGGAAGGTCACCTTAGGATGGGCTCCCAGCCCCCCAGTGAGTTTCATGGCAATGTTTTACGGAGATTTGAACACAGGTCTTGGGGGGGGGAATGTTCCTCTTATTGTAGACAAAATCATTCAGAATCTTGCAACCACTGTGGCTGCTGGTCACGATGGCTGGGGATGCTGGGAGGTGTAATCCAAAACAGAAAACAAACAAACAAAAAACAAATCTCAAATGGTGCTGTTCTCCAGACTATCTGGAGGTCCAAAATTCTCCACCGCTGCTTTCTTTCAAAGCCCATTGACAAAGGCAGCTTATTCAAATCATTTCTTTCTCAATTGTATCTGTGGGGAAGGTTTGGCTGATGCAGGATCAAACCCAAGATCCTCAGCACTACTTCAGATTATTCATCCAAGACTGATTCTTTGTTAATCTGGCCCCTGCTGAATACCCAGTTGCTGTCTTCATTTAGAAACTGTATGCCCTAAATCCAGTTGTAAATCCCAACTAGAGTAGAACCATTAAATCCATTGCAGGGGGAAGGGGAAACAACACTTATGTAAATCCTGTTGGTTCAATAGTTCTACCCCAGTTGGGCTGACCCGCTGGATTCAAACTCGGGACTTGTGCAACCACTTCTGGTACAGTTTGTTTAGTTTTATTGGTAATGCATTTATATGTTGTGCTTCCTTCGCTGACCTTAAGTACAGTGGCCGTCACTCATTCTCCTTGCATTATCTTCAAAAGAGGAGGCAGGCCAGGTTGAAAGAGAGCAATTAGCCCAACACCCTCCTGCAGGGACTTGAACCTGGGTCTCCCAACCCCCAGTGGAACAGTCTAACTGCTGTGTTATACTTGTGCTATTCTCCTGCCTTACCTAGAAGGTGCAGGTGTCTGGGTATGACATGTAAAATCTTCAATATTATCCACACAGCAACGCTGAGAGGCAGGTGAAATGGTCCAAGATGGGTGAGGATTTGAACCTGGGTCTCTTTAAGTCTCAGACTATGCTGTTACAGAAACGGCCTCATCACAGTAGGCCATTGCCTACTGTGCCTCGTGACTCTTATTATTAAAAGCTGGAATAGGATTTGGTTTTTTAAAATTTCTTGGATTACAAATCCCATAATTCCCCATGTTAGGAGTTCAACTTGACTTGCCCACACCTTACAGGTACCTACGTGTTGCTCACCTGGAGGAAAAGGCCTAAACTGGAAAACTTTAAGCACTATCTAGGCCTAGCTTTGACTAGCTTCCTGTTTAGAAAGAAAGCTCCCAGCTAGCACCTGGGCAGGAACAGGAAGCTTGTGTGGAGCAAGGCCTAGCTAAGCCTCAAAGTTTTCCAGTTGAGGCCATGTTTCCTAGGCGAGCCACACTTAGGTGCTTGTAACTCGGGAAAAACTCCCAGAATGAGTAGTAGTGACAGGATATGTAGTCCTGGAAATCCCAAGATCCTATTACTTTGAGCTCTGAAGTCCACTTTAAGATGACAATCTGCCCCCTTTATCAAGAGATGGCTAGGTGGGTTTTCCAAAATGCAATTCCTCCCTTCTCCCACCCCCTCTCTCACTCTGACATAGTGCCACCATGCCTTCTGAACGTTGTGCTACAAGTTTAATAGGAATAGGACATAGGGCCCCTTTAAATCTGAATTCACAGAAACAGAAAGATGGGCCCAGTTGCTTTTCTCTAACATTCACATGTCTTGGGCTGCAATTCCAGACTAATCTTAAATGTGGTTTGAAAAGAGAGTCATGTTATGGTTATCCTGACAGCTTTCTTGAGGCAGTGGGGAGATGGTTGGTAGTTTTCATTTCTGACTTGTTTGCAAAGAAGCCAACTCTTCCGAGGTGCCCCTAACAACTACTGTCTGGTCTCCTTCTCTTCTTCAGCACATCGGCAATATATCTGGGTCATCCTTTTCGTCTTGTGTCTGGCATCCTCTATCATTGTCGCATACTGGCTTATCAGGCGTTGTTTGAATCGAAGGTTCATTGCTGAGTGGCTGAGACGCCCAGCTGAAGACCCGCCATCGCTGGAACTGGCCCAGGTTCCTCCACAACCAGAAGCCAATGAGAAATCTCCTCCAAGACCTGCCACCATTGAGGTCCCTCATGGGCCTAAGACTGCTGTAGACACTGAAGCACGATCTCCAGGTGTTGAGGATCTCCAGGGAAGCTGTGAGGTGCTTCCTTGTTTGGACAAACCCCTCAGTGGGCAACCTAGCCACCCACCCTCTGGAAGCCCTAAGAGAGAAGAGGATTATCTTGTCTTCAGCACCTCTCCAAATAATGCTGAGGGTCCAGTCCTGGAGCTAACCATGGGAGCTGAATCGGCAATCTAATAAGTAACCAGAGATTCTCCCTTGAAGGAGAACTGCTGGACAACAGCCCAGTGGGCTCTATAGCCACAGATTTTTAGGATCTGAACTTTTAATTAGGATTGGTTGACTGTTTGATTTTCACTTCTTTTTAGACCTTACTTTAGATTTCATTTATTTGCAGACAATACACTGGTGTGGCAACATCAGCACTGAGGTGTCCACCCTACACGTCCCTATCAGCACATAGGAAGAAAATAGGTAATCTCCCCACCTCACCCCACAAGTTTTTCCTCTCCAGTGTGGATTTGTGTACTGAACAAAGTAAACAGCACAACATCTATGGATTTCAAGTTCTCCTGATACTTGCACACCCCATCTTTAGCTGCCAGTGTAGGACATGTTTGGTCTTGAAATATGAATGCATAATTAAGACAGCCTGCCTTCAAACCTGACCACTCAGGGATGTTCTATTCTAGAAATAAGGAATATGGCCTACATGGCATCATTGCAGCTGTCTGAAACCACACAGCATGCATGGCTTCATCCTGCAGAACCCTGAGGCTTGTAGTTGGTGACTTGGAATTCTTTACTGTACATCAGGAGAATGCGCTATAGCGCTGTAGTGCTATAGCACAGACCAAATCCATCACCAAACTATACATTCCAGAATTTTGTAGGAGGAAGGCATGGACATCAAAATGGCAGCAACCTTACTACGAGTGTTTTGTGTGCGTACCCTCTGAGTTGTGTAGCTTAAAGGGAAAGGGGTATGTTTGTACATAGGATGACTTCTGTGAAGGCCAAGCTGTTTGCCAGAGGAAAAAATGACACGGATATCACAATGTTGTCCAAAGCTAGCAGAGTGACGACCACTGACCAGTCATAGCATGTAGGCTGTCTTTTTTTAGCAGACATCTTAATGCCATACAAACAACAAAACAATCATGAGCTGCCCTGTGAAACAATTAAGCAGTGAACTCCTTCTTAACTTTTATTCTTGGGTGGTGGGAATATTCTTCACGTGGTTTCACTTTTGAATAAATGTGTTTTGTAACTTAATGTTGACAAATGGCTGAAGCACATCTCTGCATGCTATGGGGGGACCCTGCTCGGGGGACTTACCCCAAGGTTTCAAAAACCTGAATATTCATTCTATGACTGCTCTGGGGTATAAATAAAAAGCAGCCACGCGAGACCCCCAAATCTAAATGTTTCTGCAATGCAACAGCTGTTTTCTAAAAATCCAGATTTTAATCAAAATGTATGTATTGAGTCCATCAAATCGTCAATAAAAGTTTTGTGTATGTGGCTTATTTTATACTGGTTTCTTGGAGTGGTTTGTTCAGTTCTTCTCAAGCTGCAACTTGGGATCAAATATGAGGTTACTGGGAATTCAAATTTCCTTCCTGTTTTGACTTGACAGCAGAATTGTCTCAGATGTGTGCTTCAGTAATCAAGACCTGCAGATTTAGTCCATGGTTAACTTCCGGTGACCCATCATTTAAAACAGAAGCATGCTAGAAGCAAAATACAGAGGTGATGAAAACTGCACACTATAGCAAACAGATGACTGAATGGAACCAATAAACAATAAAACAGCTGTCTGGACAGTTCACTGGCTGGGAGCACCTGTCTGTGGAGCCTGGGGTTGGGAATTCAAATCTCCTTTATGAGTTCCAGAAGATGGGCCAGCGGAGATTATTTGAACTGCATGTACCCAGCCAGGGTATCTTTTCAGGGTTTTCTGCATAGAGAGTACTCAGAGGTAGTTTACCCTTCCCTTCCTCTAGGGACACTGTGGGACTGTGCAGCTGGCCCAAGGCCACCCAGGCTGGCTATTCTCTCAGGAGGCCCCGTGGGAGGAATCGAACCCCCAACCTCTAGCTCTGCAGTCAGAGATCTAAACCACTGAGCTATCCAGCCAGCTACATACAAGCTATGCTGTTATATTAAAACAAACAAATATGTACAGCAGGATCGGGCCAAATTATTCTGCGTACCCTTCACCATTGACTATGCTGGCTGGGGCTAATGGAAGTTGTAGTCCAACCCCATCAGGAGTGCCACATTTTGCCCACAATATTTGTACCATTTGCTCAGGGAAAAAAACCCTCTGAATGCAAGGCACCTTCCTAGTCCGTTATTTTCATTTTGTTTCTGCTGCTCCCAGACTCTGGAACTCCCTCCCACCAGAAGCAAGCCTGGCCCCATCTTTGCTGTCCTTCCACAAGCAGGCAAAGAAGACCTCTCTCTCTTCAAGCAAGCTTTCCCCTTAGGGTCTGGCTGAGCGAGTGGGATTTTAAATGCATTTTTATGCCTTAGTGCTTTGAGTGTGTTTTTAATGTTGCTTTTGTTTAGGTGGGGTATAAAAACAGAACGAATGAATGGATGAATGAATGAATGAAACAGATAAACTGTTTCGAAAGAGCTGGCTCAGTGCTTTGAGTGTGTTTTTAATGTTGCTTTTGTTTAGGTGGGGTATAAAAACAGAACGAATGAATGGATGAATGAATGGAACAGATAAACTGTTTCGAAAGGGCTGGCTGCTCAATGGTCAATGCAGGTCTACTTGAGAGTAAGCCACCCCCCACTGCTGCTCAATGGTCAATGCAGGTCTACTTGAGAGTAAGCCACACACACACACACCCCACTAAAGCTTCCTTCTGAAGGAATGTGCATGAAATTCCTGTATTGCAAAGGGGTAACGGATTTACTTTTGAGTAAACCTAAATGAGCCACAGAAGCAGAGGGGCCACCTTGTTCATTGCATTTGAATGGAGGGGAGACTTTTTTAGAGCAGTTCATTTCATTTCATTTCTTTTTTTTAAAGTTAGATCGATAACCCAACTTCCCCCCATTCCGCTCAAGAAAGTGGCTCTCTTCTTCCCTTCTTTTTTGGCACAACGGTCCTGCAAGGTAGGCCAAGCCAAGAGAGGGTGGGTGGGTGGCTGGCTGGCTGTTCCACCCAGCATGTGTGGTGTGATTCACCAGCTGAGAGGAATCCTGCCTGCTGACCTTGTCAAAGCAAAGGAGAGTTTCCTGGGCAGAGTTTTCAGGATTCCTGGAGGGAAAGCTTCTGTTGAAAGGCTGCCAGATGGCCCCCATCAAGCAAAGGAAGCTCAGGATGAGACCATCTGGGGAGAAAAGGATTTCTCACTTTGGGGTTTACCCTATGCTGCTCATTCCGCTGTACGCCCTGATGTTCCTCTTGGTTCTGGGGCTTGAGAAAAGTGCGGGGGAATTGCGTGGACCGGATGGGGCGGGGGCCTTGGGCAGCATTTTCCCAACCAGCCTGGAAGAATCCGACACGGAGAGGTGCATGGGTGGGGATCGCTGGTTGTCTCCTTGTCCGGCGGAACACCCCACCACCAGACTTGCCCAAGGAAGATGGTCCACCAGCCAAGCCCTGGGGGCCAACTTCAGCGACAGCCAGAAGGCCAACACCCTCCAGCCCCGCTCCGAAGGCACAGGTGAGCAAATTCCATCATCCGCCACCACTTACAGGGGGCTTGGGTGTGGGTCTTAGCAAAAATGACTGGAAATGGGATGCTAATCTTCTGTTTACTTATTTACTACCTGTAGACCTGGGCTTTCTTTCCAGGCTAAACTTCTCCCTACTACTTCCTTACAACAGCCCTCCGAGGTAGAGTTAAGGTGGGAGAGAGGGTAGTCAGCATTGGCTCTCCAAGCTCACTGAAGACTTCAGCCTGGTTCTCCCAAATCCCACCCCCTCCCTCTCACCTCATGGTGGACAAAATTGGGGGGGCGTTGTTGGACTACAAGACCCATAAACCCCAGTGAGTAGGATCACTGGGATTTGTAGTTCAACAGCATCTGAAGGGCTGTTCCTTGCCTGGTTGTGCTGTAACCACTATGCTTCACTCTCTACCTGTTAACCATCGAAACCAGTGACTCCCAACTTTGGGTGCGCAGAGGTTCTTAGACTACAACTCCCGGAAATCCTGGCCAGCACAGTTAGTAGCAAAGGTTTCTGGGAGTTGTAGTCCATTAACCTCTGGGGGGGATCCAAGGTTGGGAAACACCGCCCTACATTATAGATCCTTTCTATCCACGATTCCCAACCCACTTTGGGTCTCCAGAGGTTCTTGGACTACAACTCCCAGAAATTGTAGCCAACACAGAGATGGGTGAAGGCTTCTGGGAGTTGTAGTCCAACAATATATGGGGACCCAAAGTTGGTTGAGATCCACTGATCTAAACTGTGCAACAGTTCTGGTTTTTTTAAAAAGCAAATTATTCTCAGGCTCATTTCTCCCCACATTTTTTTGCTTTTTGATGGGGTTGTGAAGAAGCACAATCAGATTCAGGATGTGTTTGACTCCTAATGACTGCGCTCTCTTGACGTTTTAGTTCAGCTGAGTTTCATCTGCCTTCTCCTCCTGGGAATCGGGGCGGCCCTCTTTTTCGTCTGTTTTGCTTGCCGGGTCGCTTTCTGTTTCTGGAACCAGCTGAGGCTGCGGGGCCCCGTGCAAATCCTGAATGAGCAGCTACAGCTGGGCCAGTTGGAACATGTTCCCCATATGGCGCTGGATCCCACCGCTGCCACCACCACCAGTTCTCTTCCCCCTGTGGGCACTGACTCTGCGCAGGAGGTGCTTGTATGAAGAAGACTGGCAATGAAATCTTGAGTTCCAACCCTTTGCCCCCAAGACTGGAAGCTACGGCGAGATCATCAATTTTTGAATCACTCCATCATCTCCCCCAGGAACATGGTGGAACACCCACATTTTGCTTGATCCTTGCATCTTATTCTTTCACCTTGAACTGCACATCTATGTCTGAAATGCTTTGCCTTGAGGCAGGAATGCACCCTGACGACCAGCACTCTGTGAGTTCTTTATTTCTGAGGTTTCTCAGCAGAAGGAACGCAGTGTATCTCCAAGAAATCATTTATGGGGCCGCCCAAGCCATTGGTCAGAGGGGAGAAACCGAGATCCAGACATTGCCAGAAAGCTGTGTTGAAATCCAACAAGCTTCAGCATTTCAGGACCACACTGTTAGCTTTTAATTATTTAGAAAGACAATTAGACAAAGCTCTCCCCTCATGCCCTGACAGACCTCTTCAACGGCCAGTCAAGATCCAGAAGTATTGAGCTGCTCCGTTGAATCCTCAGTTAAGCTTTGTAACTCAGGGCAGGAGAGGAATCTAGGGAATTGTCTTATCGACACAAAAATTATATTATGTGTGACTCTTCATTTCCATAGCTTCTGGAAGATTGTACCGGAAGGTACCCTGAAGCTTTTTAAGGATGACATTTCTGCAACCCGTTAAACTCAGAAGAGGCAGATCCAGTCCGGAGCCCAGGCTGTGCTTCCAGAATGAACTTTTCCCCCCTGGGATGCTAGAAGCAGGGGCTTGCTAAACACATGTTTTCAATGTATGGCTCTTTATTACCAATAAAGTGTGGACGTGTAGCATTTTGACACTGGGTTATCAGTGTGGTTTGTGCAGCACCTGATGAGATCCAACGGAGGCTGCTGCTTGGCATGGATGGATCAGAATGTGAAGATGCCTTATCCGCTGTTGTTGACATGTGTGGTCAAGGCTCTTCCAATTTACAGCGATCCTATGAATGACCTATCTCCAAAATGTCCTGTCCTCAACCGCCCGACTCAGCTCTTGTAAGGTCAAGCCTATGGCTTCCTTTAGGGGGCTGGGGGTTCAGTTTCCCACTGGGCCAGCTTGAGAGGGGCTGGACCCGATGTTTCATAGGGGCTTTTCCAGTTCTGCAGTTCAATTTCATAGGGTCTTTTCCAGTTCTGCAGTTCAAAGGTCATCCAAAAGGTTTTATCTAGGACCCATTGGTCCATCTTTCTGGCAACCCAGCGTAGGTATCTGCAAAGCTGTCCTTCAGCATCATAGTTCAAACACATCTCCCTCCACCCACCCCAAACCCACTCAGCTTTCTTTCAGAAGTAGTTATCTCTATATACGTGTTCCTAGTTTGCCCTGGCAATGTAGGGCCCTCTGGATGTTTTTGAAATCCACTCAACACAACCGGTGTTGAGAGGCAGTGTGGTGTAGCAGTTAGAGCCTGGCAATTAGACCTCACCAGATCTGGGTTCCCCACGGGGGCCACTAAACTTCCTGGGGGACAGTCACGGGGCCAGGCAGGCCCTCTCAGTCTGACCCACCTCACAAGGGTTGTTGTGATGGGCAGGAGTCTCAAGGACGCCACCCTCCCCAAGGCCATTGAAAACAAAGTAGGAGAGAGGGGTAGCAAATAAATAAATATGAGCAGCAATATAGGGAGAAGATCTTAGCAGGTGAGCCTGCTTTCCACCCACCCTGAAGCACCACTTTCCAAATGCTGTAAATTAAGATAGTTCTCTTAAAGGCACTGGAGCCTAGCAGTGGTGGCTAGTTGGCAACCCTCTTTTCTGGCTAGATCCGAGAGAGAGAGATTCGTATCTCTTGCCACAACGTTTAACGATTCTTCACGCCAATCTTCCTGCTTGGTTGGCGTCTGGCGGCACCTTTACTCTGAAACGATTGCGAAGGGGATCCACTTACTCCCACGTAAATAAAAGAGGGGGGCACTACCTTGCTCCCTGCGTGCTTACTCTGAAAATAAATCCACGCTTTCATGGTCCAGCGTGCAATACACTCTCTTGCAGGGAAGTAAATCCTATGGAATAGAACGAGATTTACTTCTGAGTGTTACATACAGCACTGATGTTACCTGTCTGTCATGGGTTTGGAGGGAAAGTTCCATCCTATGGGGAGTGGAAGGCGGGACATCAGGAGGAGGGGCTGTACTGTATATATAGGTGAAGCCTGTGTGGAGAAGTTTAGAGAAGGGAGGAGCTGAGAGAAGAAGCTGGTGTGGGAGTCTGTGTGTATCATTTTATTTTCCCTGTGTGTTGTTTTAAATAAACCTTATTCTTTTATTGGTTGAAAATCCATCCCTGGTCTGTGTGACTTCTTATAGGGAATGGTTGGTGGCAGCTTAGTTAACGTGTGGCAGATCCCAGTAGGTCTGGGTTTGTCACATTGATTAACTGCCTGTCGGTTCCGGCTATTGGGCCGGAGGCAGTTTTGCACTAAAACCAGCCATGCCATCGCCACCTCGTCGAAACGTGCCTTTTCCTAAAGCCAAGCTACAAATCTCAGTAGGCTTCCTCAAGAGCAACCCCTCAAACACACCCACCCCCATCCCCGTCGTCGCCCAGCCTTCTTTGGTGCTTAAGGAAGCCCCTGCCTCGGGCACACGCCCTGTTACTCAAGAGTAAGGCCATTAAACCTTGTTAGGATCGGACTAGCGGGGGCGCAGCAGGCCAGGTGCGTAGAGGTTTAAGGTGATCCTCCACCATCCATGGGCAAGGATCGGGGCCAGGCCAGCTGAGACGAGTTTCGAACCCCGACGTACAGTATATAAAAGCCAGGGCGGGGGGAGGGAGCGCTGGGATGGCGTTCATGTGTGGATCCCGCGCAGGCGCTCCGACGGGGCGGACTGAAGCCCAGAGACCCGCGCCCTCAGCTTCCAAGGGGGCCCGGGCACCATGCGGTGGGCCCTGCTGTGGGCCCTGATCCCTTGTTGGGGGCCCGAGGGGCTCCTGGCCGCCGAGGGGGAGCTGTGCCGCGCTTGGGCCGACGGGTTGGTTTGTTTCTCTCTTACGGCAAAACGGCAAACCTTTGTAGGCTTTCCTCAAGAGTAAGCCCCTCTTTCCATGGTCACTGGTAATGAGGGTGTAGCTTGTTGGCCAGTTAGCAATCTTGATGTAAATTTCAGGATGTGGGAGGAGGGTCCGCCATCACAGACTAGCTTGTAGCTGGCCGCGCAAGTCCTTCCGCTGCCCGAGGAAGCGCGACGGCCCGGCCGCCACCTTCTGCTGCGGGAGCTGCCGCCGTCCGTACTGTTGCGCGGCCGCCGAGGATCGCCTGGACCAGCCGCGCTGCGGGGCGCAGCCCCAGCCCGGACCCGAGGCCGGCGCTTCCCCTCCGCCGCTTTTGCAAAGTAGGCGAAGTTTGGAAAGCGCGCAACCCTCGCGGAAAAAAAATCCGCTCTTCCCGGGAGAGTCCGGGGGGCTCCGCGCTGGGGAAGTAATTCGTTGCAAGGAGAGTAGTTAAATCCGACTACAGTGGTTAGGGGTTGGTTTGTTTCTCTCTTACGGCAAAACGGCAAACCTTTGTAGGTTTCCTTAAGAGTAAGCCCCTCTTTTCCATGGCCACTGGTAACGAGGGTGTAGCTTGTTGGCTAGTTAGCAATCCTGATGTAAATTTCAGGATGTGGGAGGAGGGTCCGCCATCACAGACTAGCTTGTAGCTGGCCTTCCGCTCTGCATTTTTACTGGAACTTAAGTGGATTCCAAGAACTCCCAACATAGCTGAGCCCCATTTCTAAGCTGATGCAAAGAACAGCCATCTGTCTCTCTGTCTGTCTAGGACCAGAGATACCTGGAGGGGAGGTGGGTCATGCAAGGACTGGCGTTGTCAGCCATCAAAATGTTCAAAGGACAGGAGGGGTGTGTGTGTGATACCCACCTGAGAGCAGGAGCATCCGCGACACCTTCTCAGTTGGGCTTTCTGTTTCTTTTTCTTCTTGATTTCCAGTCTTGCGGGTCATGACCTGGTTTTGTTCCGGCGTGCTGGCTTTTCTGCTGGGCTTTGTGGGCCTCCGTTACCTCTACTTCTGCCTGGAGAGCTGCCTCGAGTCCTTCATGGAGGAACCCCCACAAATCCCAATGGATGAGATCGACAGATCGGCTGGGTGTCCCATCACGGACCACCGACAGATCTCGCTTGACGACCCGCCGCCTCCTTACAGCGCCTGCGTGAGCACTGGCCCCCCGTCTTTGGGCGCTGGAGACTGCCAGCGTTCCCGAAGCCTGTCTTCTACCTTGGACCACGAGACACTTGTCCAGTTCCGTCGTGGCACGCCAGAAACCCCAGGGATGGGGTAACCAACCCTCTTGCTTTTGGCCAACGTCGGCCCCTTCCATCTAGAACAGATGTTACTTCTTACCCAAACTAGAAACCATCATTTGACTCAAGACGAGACTTGCTTTTAAGCTTACAGAATCAGACTAGCTTTGTACAATGTTTTTATCAGTGTGTGTTACATAGGCAAGATGTTGCATTTTTAAATTTAGTGCCCTGCGTCCTGACTTCAGTCCTTCCCCTTTTTCCTGATAACGAGGCACTGGTGTGCCAGAAGAAGCCTTGGCCCAAGTGAGCCCCTGGTGGATAGCCCTCTGAGTGAATGCTGGACTACATTGCCTATGAGCCACACCAACAGATGTGAGGAATGCTGAGAGTTAAAGAGAAAGAGGGCCACCCTTCACCTACCCCTATCTCACCGATATCCTGGAATGTGCCCTGAGATATTTGCTACGATGGCTCTATAATGGAGTTTGCTTAGAGCAGTGGTCCCCAACCTTGGGCCTCCAGCTGCTCCTGGACTACAACTCCCAGAAGCCTTCACCACCACATCTGCTGGCCAGGATTTCTGGGAGCTGAAGTCCGAGAACATCTGGAGGCCCAAGGTTGGGGACCACTGGCTTAGAGCATTGGTTCCCAACCTTGGGTCCCCAGATGTTCTTGGACTACAACTCCCAGAAATCCTAGCACAGCAAGTAGTGGACTACAACTCCCAGAAATCCTAGCACAGCAATAGTGGAAAGGCTTCTGGCAGTTTTGGTCCAGGAACATCTGGGGACCCACGGTGAGGAACCACTGCCCTAGAAGAGATAAACTGTTCCCCTTGCCTCCAGTCGGTGGGGCCATCCTGGAGATAAAAGATTTATCCCCTGCCTCCTCATCAGTAGACATAATTTGTCTCAGTGACCAAAGGAGAGGAGGCCTTTCCATTCTGGCCACTGGGAGCAAAGGTTTGGACTACATTCCCCATCACTTTACTTTGACGTTGCATTCCAGGATATTGGATCGTTTCTCAAAAGCACCATCCGTGTTAAACTTCCTCCAAAAGGATCTCAGAATGGACCTCAGAGGAAATCCTTTTGGGCCTGCTTATCTGTGGATCATGTGTGTCTCTCTGTGTGTGTGTTTGTGTAACCATTCAGACTTGAGACCTAGTGTTATCTACATGCTGGTATGATACCCTCAGGGGTGTGTTTGCTCACTCCCCTTTGAAGTCCCATACCTTCTGGACACCTATGGTTTTTAAAAACTGGACAACTGTACGATATTTCTGCGTTTTTAACCCTAACGAGGCAAGACAAGCCGAGGAGAGGTGTGTGCCACTCGAACGAAGGGCTTTGGGGAGGGTTAAAGTCGTCTTAGCACACACATCGGGACTGGTTTAGTTTTGCTTAACAATATATGTACCCAACAGTCAATAAAAATATGTGCGCAGTCTTTCCCCTGTCTGATCTCTGGGACTGGTTAGCTTAATGGCTGATATGATTCCACGCCCTGGTTTGTATATCCGGATGCATGTCTCTGTATATATATATGAATGAATGAATGAACATTCTGAGTTGGGAAGTAAATATATATGAATTCCAGAGTGATCTCTGGAATGTCCTGTCTCCAACAGCTCAGGTCTTGCAAACTAAACTCTGTGGCTTCCTTTACGGGGCCAATTCATCTCCTATTTGCCCTTCCTCTTTTCCCGCTGCCTGCAAATTTTCTTATGCTTACTTAAAACTTCCCCCCACTTAGTTTTGGCATTACACTGGCCCAAGTTTTAAAAATTGCAGAGATGACTCTCTTTTTTGGAAGAGTCTCTAAGATATTTTTCTCTGCATCTCTCCTTTTCATCCAGCAAATTTCACCCACTCTCCAACCTCTTCCACTGCATGTGTAGCTTTTAAAAAAAATCTTGCCCATGGAAAGCTTTGAAGATCAAACTACAGCAAAGCCAGCAGAACAGACTAAAAGGAAGAACGAACAGCCATTCTCCCCATCCCCCAGTGATACTGGCAGGCCACACTTTTTCTGTCTCGGGAGGTTGGAAAGTCAAGGCAGTAAAGAGAAATGTGGACGAGGATGACACAAAAGCTCTTTAAAACCCAAGAAGGGCACCGTGGATTAAAGGCAAGCGGCTGCGGCAGGAAATGCGAGAGCAGCAGGGTTTCAATTCTTCCAGTTAAGCTTTATTTGAACTTTCTAAAATCCGTTGCCTCTAGGGAAAGATGTTTTTCTCCATGGGGGAGAGGCTCGGATTGTGACTTCTGCTTAGATGGCCAAGTGGCGCTGCTGTAGGACCCGGCACACAATGGGTGTCATATTAACAGATGCTGTGTTTTAAGTGGTGCATCTCCAGTGGTGTAAGCCGGCAGAAGGCATCGTCCGGTCTATGAGTCAAGCTGTTCCTGAGCTTCTCCAGGCATCTCCACCGCCCGCCTTCCCGATCCATAAAAGAAAAATGTCTGCTACAAGAAAGCCCCACAGACTATGCCTCCAGGATGTGCCTCAGTGGCTTCTGAGTATGATATTTCCATCCTTTATTTATGGTAACAGGCTAATGTTGAGCTTTTGGCAAGTGGGGAGAAGCAGCTGTTCTGATACCGTGCAGTCTACTTGGCTAGTTATCCATCTTCCTGGTTCAGATTACTTGTTACATGTATTGGTGTTATTTATGTCCAAAACATGGGTCTTTCTACGTATTCCACCCAATGCCTTCAGTCTAAGGGACTTTCCTCTGCTGCTACACCCGGGCAGTGCAATTCTCTCTGGCTCCATCCTTGATGACCTTTCGTGGCTGCTTAACAGCCTTAGTGTGTTTTATCAGGTGTCATGCTGGTTGCGGTAACCTGGGAGTTGTCTTCATTCCACAAAGTCATGATGTCCTTAAGCTGTGGTTCAAGAGTAAGCTCAACAACTGGAGGTTCTTACCTCTGATCAGGAGAACAGCCTTCCAAATTAAGTATGACTCCTTTCCATTATTTCTTTCATTAGCCCCATGAGTTGGAACCTCATGTGATGTCTCCTGAGGCAGAAACATGGATGACACACACACACACACACAGAGAGAGAGAGAGAGAGAGAACCCCAAAAATCCAGAACAGCCCTGCAAGGAGGCGTCAGCAAGAGAGAGAGAGAGAGAGAGAGAGAGAGAGAGAACCCTAAAAACCCAGAACAGCCCTGCAAGGAGGCGTCAGCAAGAGGCTCAGCACTCAGAGGGCAGGAGACCAGCCCTGATCTCAATGCTCACTCGCACGATTGCTTTACATTGATCTCCTGTTTCTGATGAGCTGTGACCACCGACTGACTCAGGGGTCTTCCAGCTTTTCCATTAACTCTAATGAGGCACCGCTCGTTATTAGATCGGGGAGACACTTTACTGCCTTGGCTATTAAAATGAAGCAAAATGAAAGAGCTGGTTGGGTAAAACGAAAGGGGGGGGGAAATGTGCCCTGGGCCTTTCTGACACTGTTGTGCCTTAACAAGAGCGCAATGTTCTGTCCAGAGGAATCATCACATCTCCCCTTTCGCTGAGCTGCACGCACCTCGCCTTTTCGGTGTCGTGACTCAAATCCAGCAGCCGGTGGAACAAGAGGAGGAAGGAGGTCCTCTCTCCTGGACAAGCCAGATAGACTTTTATTTTGGCAACCCTGCCGCTGTCTGTCTTGATTGTCAATGGTCATGCGCTAGGAAAAATGGACGGGTTCCTCTCTGTGCTTTGGATATAAAGGCCAGATGGTGTTAATGGTGCTTCAAAGCATGGCTAATTCATTGCCACGTTTGTTACACCCTCTGCAGAAAGAGCTCAGATCCGCGGAGGCAGTGCTTCCCTTAATGTATTCTCACAGCAACTCTGTGGGGTGCATGAGGCTTAAAAATGGGGAAAAGTTTGAGGTCTCTAGCCCTTGTAATAATAACTGTGGGCTAAGTCAATTCTGACTTGTGGCAACCTTCCCCCGCCTCCCCATAGTTTTCCTGGTAGAGAATACTCAGTCGCGCATTACCATTCCCTTCCTCTAGGGGAGCCCTGGGACTGTGCAGCTTGCCCAAGGCCACCCAGGCTGGCTCTTCTTGGATGCCCAATGCGGGAATTGAACTCCTAACCAGAGACCTAAACCACTGAGCTCTCCAGCCTGCCCATCCCGCCCCCAGCTCCTACAGAAGTGCCGACTGGGAGAAATAACGGCAGAGAGTTTAGGCTCGTTTTGGGTTTCAGGTAGAAAACTTGAGTGTGAGGGAGCATTTGATCTGTGACAGAGACCTAACCCACTGAGCTATCCAGCCTGCCCTGAAGCTAGATGCAGGAGGGAACAATTAGTAAGTGCTGGACAGATTGACAGTCACCCCCAACCCAGAAAAAGTCCCTCCAAGTCACTAAAGCCACAGGCAGCGTGCAAGGCTGTAAAAAGGCCAGCAAAAGTTCTACTTGCACATCCAGCCTCAAGGGCAATTTTTACCCCACTTGGTACCAAAAATGGAAACCATGCATTTCCCCCCCCTTTCCTTTACAGGTAGGGCTGTAGCAAGGGTAGAGCGACTGGGGCTTTGCCCCAGGGCACCCAGATTTCGAGGGCATGAAATCTAGAGGCGGCTTTAAGGAAAATAAACATCAACACCTCTTGTCTCTATCCACTTTCCTTTTTATGCAAACATAATATCCTTCCTCTCCTTTCTCATGGGGGTGGCTCATGTCCATGTTTCCTGACATGGACACTATTGTTTGCCACAGGCAACAGTTGCAGAGTTTGAATTGCTGGTGAAATTCATTTTGCTACGTAGTAGAAGTACAGAGATTCACAGAGGAGAATAGCTACAAGTTCCCCTGATAGTCCACTCCTTTCGCGTTCACTGGCACTAGACGTCTCAATAATTCACTCTGAGTCATTTGCAGGAGAAAGAATAAAACTGTTTCATTTCCTACAGTCCATCCCTTTCTCATTAACTGGCACGTACAGTCTCTGCATCTCACTCTGAAACATTTGTAAGCAAAAGAATAAAAACGTTAAATTACTTACAGTTGTGAGCAAATCAACAGCAAACTAACAATACGCCGCTTTCCAACGGACTAAAGAGAGAAAGAGAGAGAAACTCAGCAGAGAGTTTGAAGCTAGATGCAGGAGGGAACAATTAGCAAGTGCTGGACAGATTGACAGTCACCGCCAACCCAGAAAAGGTCCCTCCAAGTCACTGAAGCCACAGGCAGCGTGCAAGGCTGTAAAAAGGCCAGCAAAAGTTCTACTTGCACATCCAGCCTCAAGGGCAACCGACAGCACAAGGGCAGTGCCATACATCAGATTCAGCCATGAGGCTCCTTGATTGATGATGGGTGCTGGGTACAATCTGTGTTTGGGCTGTACCACTCCAGGCTGCAGATGGAGCTTCGCATGAATGAGTGATCCTCTGCAGGAGAAATAAAATTCCTGTAGCAAAGTCTCAACTACGTTTCCTAAACTAAAATAAGTGGTCAATGTTAGAAGTGGATGGACTGATGAAATCTGGGGCATGAGAATTAAGCCTCAGATCATAGTTCCAACAAGGTCCCTTTTCTTGGTCCATTGTCTGGCCCAGTTAAACCCACTCGCTTTTTGGACGCGTCAGTGTAAGAGGTTGCCTGAATTGAAGCTGAGGAGGAATTCTCACCAAATCTAAGTTGACTCCTTGACTTACCGAAGTAGATTTAACTTATAACATCCATTATTTGTTGTCATCTAAACCACTGCAGTTCTAAATATTCTGTTACCAACGGCATCCTTCAGCAGGCTGTAATGTTTGTGAACATCCCATGACACCACGTCATCAACAACGGCATCCTTCGGCATCCTTCAGCAGGCTGTAATGTTTGTGAACATCCCATGACACCACGTCATCTAAACGACCCCTAAACTACATAGATGGCTCTGTAGATTAGTAGATAATCGTCTGTGAACGCATTTCCTTTGGCATTTTGAAATGGCAAAAGATTGTTTCCAGCTCTCTCTCTCTCTCTCTCTCTCTCTCTCTCTCTCTCTCACACACACACACACCCACACACACACCCCCCCCTTCTTTGGCAAGCTGGATTTAAAACTCCTAGGCAACATCTTTTCAAGCAGATGTCGCTGCTCCTCCTCGCCATAAAAAGAGAACAACACTCCCGTGGTTTCAAAACTGTCACTAACAAGCTGAGCAGAGCAGTGGAATTTGCGCGCCGATATATGGAAATGTATTCTGTCTTCTTGGGATAATTTGACACAAAGCGGATCCTGCGCAGAGACCCGAGGAATCTCTCTCTGTAACGAAGCAGAGTTTGGGGTGGGGGGGGAGAGAGAAGCCCTCATTAGCAAGAAAGTCGGCTGCTGTCGATGTTACAGAAAGAACTTGAAAGCTCCAAACCAGCTCTTGAGATGCCCCTAATGGGACACGGAAGATCGGGCCCAGCTGTGAAACCAACTCTGAAAGGTACAGAAACTACCTCTGTGATCTCGGTGTCTCGGGTGTTCTGAAGCAGAAAGTAACTTCAGTGACAGAACACCTGCTTTGCCTACAGAAGGTCCCAAGTTCAGTTCCAGCCGTCATCTCCAGAATGGATCGGAAGAGACTCTTGATAGCAGCTACCCACTCAGTGTACTGAGCAAAATGGACTTTTGTCTGACTTATGTATTATATTTGTATTAGAACAGAGCACCAACATATATAACAGGGAATCTGAACGGACAGGGAAAAGGAGATGGATAGTCCAAATGTGATCCCCCCCTCTTAGTCTTTTCCAGATCTATGTGTAGATTGCTTCTCTTAGGCTTCCTTCCTTCTCTCTCAGAGGTCACTTCGTTTCTTCTTCCTGCTACTTAGAGAAATTGCTATCAGCAGACTTATATGCACAGAAGATGCACTATTTATGTTCACATAGATCTAGCCCCCCCCCCCCCCACACACACACACAATTCCTAAACAAGTTATGTGTACAGATTTTTGTTTCTGGGATCAGACTGAAAAAAAGTTCTTTTTTTAAAAACTCCACACTGGTTGAGGGATTGAGGAGTTGCAATCTGCAAAAGTAACTTTTCAGGTCTAGAATTTATCTAATCTCTGAGAGAGAAGAAGCATAGTAATATAATTAAAGGAAAGGTTCTCTTAATTGTATTTGCCTAAAGGGAGAGAAGCACCATAAGAGTTGACCAGCGGAAGCAATTAAGGTCATTCTTTACAGCATCAAAGAACTGTATTGTTTTTTTAAAAAAAAACAGCAACCTGTTTTTGGTGATGCTGCAGAAACAAAATATTAAGAAGGCATTTTCCAAAAATAAGCGCCAGGGGAACAGGCCATTACATTCATCCAATGAGCACATTTAGCAAAATCGATCAGCTTCCACGAATGCTAATGCAGACATTGTTTCAGAGACTCCCCGATTCTGTCAAGTTGGCCTATGAATTATGATTTTAATATCTTCATATCTGCTCTGATTAGGATCTGTTTCTTTGCTGGGGCAAGAGTGGGTTACAGCTGAGTAACACAAAATGAACCATCTTTTCTTCTTAGATGTGAACGTTTAGCTGGCCATCTGGAGTAGACTACTCCTTTCTCATTAACTGGCACTTACAGTCTCAATAATTCATTCTGAGACACTTGTAGGAGAAATAAAAATGTTTCATTACTTACAGTTCACCCCTTTCTTATTAATTGGCACAGGAGCCTGTTTTACTGGTTACAAAGCCAGATGACAACCCGGGAGGGGGGGGGGGGGGGTTAGAACTGAGAACAGACAATGTCTGGTCACCAGAAACCCCCAACACCACAACACACTTTTTAAGAAAACCTCAAAAAGTCTCTTTTTGCCTACTAGAGAGTGTGGAAACTGTTCATGTTTAGAGGGATTCCAGCATCCCCCAAAATTTGAAGGTTTATTTTTATTTTCTTAATATTAAAAGGTGCAAGGGAGTCCTCCCCCCACCCTCTGGTTAAAAGTCCTGCCAAGAGACACACTGAGGCCATTGGTTATGGAATGATAGAATTTTGCATTGTGATGTGCCTCCTCCAGAAGGACGGCTGTTCATAAAAACGGACTCTTTTCCATTTCCATTCGTCAACATCTTCAATTAGAAAATGGACCAGTCTTCAATTTAGCTGCCCCATGTGTGTCTCTGATGGGTCAGACACCATGCATAGAAATATTAATCACCTCCCTTGCCAGGCAAGTGTGCATTAAATAAGATTTTAATGAAACTACGGGGTAATAGAATGCAGTGAAACATAGAACTATCAACCAGTTGAGGATTTTTAGTTGATTAACTGTCTGGTGGTTCTGTTTCTTTTTTCTTTTTTCCCTAATCCAGAATTACCAAGTTTAAATCCCAGGATTCATCACCTGGTAAGGAGAATATGTATATTTCTCATTTAAGTGTGCTCTCTCTCACACACACCAAAACAGGATGCATGGTCATGCAAATAAAACGGCAGGTTCAAAAAGTTCATGCCTCCAGCAGCAGAATTAAGAGTTGCCAAAGAAAGTCCGTGTGCTGTCACCACATCATAAGCTCATTAATTAACATTTCTGACATGTAATTATGTGCTTTTCTGTTGCTGGTCTGCTGCATCATGTTCCCCAAAAGAAGACGTGGAGGCTGAGCGGTAGCGACAGAGCAGCAGGTAGCTGAGCTAAGGCAATGCCTGGCAGCTGGCATGAATCATGCCGAAGCACCACAGGAAGCCTGCTGAGCATAGCTAAAGAGTGCCACATGATGCTCAGTGGCTCTATAGGTCCTGTGCCAGCTAGGGAAACATTCTCCGAAGGCATTTTTGTGAGATGGGGGACAGAATGCAGGCATGGAGGGCCATGGGGGGGGGGAGAGAATAAAATGTGTTTGTAAGCCGCCTAGAGTGGTCGCAAGACCAGATAGGCGGGAAATAAATAAATAAATAAATGAATAAATAAATAAATAAATGAATAAATAAATAAATAAATGAATAAATAAATAAATAAATGAATAAATAAATAAATAAATGAATAAATAAATAAATAAATGAATAAATAAATAAATAAATGAATAAATAAATAAATAAATGAATAAATAAATAAATAAATGAATAAATAAATAAATAAATGAATAAATAAATAAATAAATAAAATGCTTTTGCTTCAACTGATGACAGAGTAGCATATTAATCATGACCCTCCCTGTAACTAGACTGTGCAACAAGGAGAACCTGAATATTCCAGCAAATGAACTGATCAATAGTTGTTGTGGGTTTTTCGGGCTCTTTGGCTGTGTTCTGAAGGTTGTTCATCCCAATGTTTTGGCAGTCTCTGTGGCCGGCATCTTCAGAGGATAGGAGTCAGAACTCTGTCTGTGCTCTGGTGCAGTTTGTTTGGACAGTTGAGTATTTATAGCTGTGGGATCAGCTTTTGTCCTTTTCAGGAGATTGGGTGATTAGGGTGATCTCTCCCTGCAACAACCATCAGATCTCCGCCGTGAAAGCCTTTGAGAATAAGTTGATCAATAAATGAGTTCTAGCCCTTTTGTGTTTGTGCTGGGAATGAGGCTCTTATAAGGCTAATGGCTCTTAATTGCCTATTTGGGACAAAGCTCTCTCAAATCCTTTGTATTGCGATAGGGATAACTGGCAACACTATATGGTTTTTGGGAAAATATATTTCCTCCCTAGCTATCATGAAGACTGCAGCTAAACCCAAAGTAGAGATAGTCTACCCCTGTTTCATTAACTGGCACTTAAAGTATCAATAACGCTGAGATATAGGTACTGGTGTTTGTGTGTGTGTGTGTGTGTGTGGGGGGGGTTCCCCTATTCATTAGCTGGCACTTAAAGTATCAATAACGCTGATATATAGGTACTGGTGTGTGTGTGTGTGTGGGGGTTCCCCTACTGGCGGAACCGAAGAACGCAGGGCGGAACGCAAGTGCAGGAGGGACGCGCTCAGGGGGGAACGCGAAGAGCGTGACACTCGCCCCCCCTCCGCCACCGCTGGTTCCGCGGTAGCCATGGCAACGAGAGCGGCCTACACGACCTCGGGTTCGTTCGGAACCGGAGCCGCGTTTCGAAAGAAGCTGCTGGAGGGGAAAGAAAAGGCTGGGTGGGGGATAGGCACCCCACGGGGCAGGACGAGGCTGGGTTTCTTTGAGCTGGGAAAAACTTCTACGCCCTTCCTCCCGTTTAAGGCGCGCGGGTGTTTCCTCTTTATAGGGTATTGGTCTCATCTCGCCTTGCCCCCCCCGGTGCTCCCCAAAATGCTATTTCCACTGATCTTTGTTTGGAGTGGAAGCCTTTGAAAGCTAGCAACCGGCATTGCTGCAGATGTTATTGTTGTTGCTGCTGCTGTTGATACTGGTCCACTTTGCAGGGCTGTTGTGCGAACTTATGGGAAGCCTTTTGAGCCTTGCCAGGAAATGCCTGGAAACAGCTAATAATCACTCATTTGGCCCCAGGTGGTCCCCATAAGTTAAGAATAGCCTGCTTAAATAGGTTATCTGTTGGGTTGTGGGTTTTTTTCCCTTTTGTTTTTTTTAAACCTCTCTTAAAGGAGAGGACCCTTAAATAAACGTGGACGTTGCAGCCAGGTAACAAACGCTTAGTCATCGATTTTGCAAAAAATTTAAAATAAAATGCATTTTATTTCATTTTTTCTTGGCATCTTCTATTAAAATACAAAGTAACACTGAAATGAACTTGGCTGGCTTTGGGTGCTGGTGCTTCTAAGCCTAAGGCTTCCTCCCTGGTCCGTTTGAGCCAGAGCAGAATTGGAACCCAGGGCTTTCCCTTTTGTGGAACCTCCCCATGTTCGCTTGTAAGGAAGGAAACTGGTTCATGTGGGTCCTGCTCTGTACGTGTGCATAGGATTGGCCACAAACATTTTCAGTTTCCCTTGCTTTATACAGGCTGAATCAAACTTAGAGAGAGGACTTAGGCGTTTGAATGTTACTTTTAATTCTTGTAAACTTTCAGCAGTATTTGAACAGTGAATCACACATTCCTATAATAACAGGCATGTTGTTTCTTCTTCACAGAGTGAGCAAGAAGTTGTCTCTAATCCGTGAAATCTTCAAACCGGCTGCACTGCGGTTACATGATTAGTCAGAAGTGTGTCTTGCTGTGTTCATCCAGGAAGAGCCGGTGCAACGTGGTACAAGGGTATTCAGAAGTAAGTCCCACTGAGCTTAGCCATGTTTCCTCTAGAGGAAACTGGTTCTAGGATTACAGATCTAGTTTTTTTAAGCACTCCTGCTTTTGGAAGCATAGAATAACATGGGTGCCCCCATGGAACGGAGATCATCGAGCACAAGATTGCAGATGAGAAGTCACGGCCTCTTGGGTTTTGTTTATAAATCTGGGAACGGCTGGAATTGCTGTTTTTCAGACAGATCATTCACAAAGTCCTTGTCACAGATTGCCCGGCTCTAGCGCTGACAGTCTGCAAGGATGACAGTTTCCCATGGACTCTGTACTACAACATCCATAATTAATTTTGCCGTTGTTATTTTTAGTTGGGCCCTGGGGTGACCAGATGGGCCGACAGCTCCTAAGACTTTTGCTGCAGAGCAGATGGAGGTGAGCTACGGCTGCAGCAGCTCCGTTCCAGAGGATTCAGACGATAACTTTGCCTCCTTCAGTGAAGGAAAGGAAGGAGAACCCTCCAGGAACTACGAGAATGACCCATTTGAATCTTATTCTTCTGGAGAGAAGTCGGAATTGCCTTCAGCGTCGGATCAGTCTGAGAGCACGTGGCAGTCATCCGGTCAAAATGATGAAGGTGTGCTTGCTTACTTGTACATTTTGGCTAAATCTCCTTGCAATCTTACAGTGACTGAGAGAAGCAGTCCCATCAGCAAAGCCACAAAGAGAGTGACAGAGAAGAAAGGGATCTGTCATCCCCTGAACAAAACAGCAGAGCCCTCAAATTACAGGGTTACCATGCCAGAACTGATCAAGTGTGGCATGCAGTGAAGTTAGCTGGCACGTTGATGGTAGAAAGAATTGATGTAGCTGGGGGTGTCATTCTCTGATGCTATGTTTGAAGCCTTCTGAAAGGTCCTTTTGCTGCCCCCTGAGTTTTCTGCGAGGTGGCATGGCTTTCTCAATATGCACCAAATTCAACTGCTGATCCCAAAGCCCTTTTAAACTAGCATTTCCTAAATAAGCCAAGCACGTGGGTAGGTTTAATCTTGTCCTGGAGCTATATTATGCTTTCAAAAACTGCCTCTGTGGGTTGGGAGTGGCTTCAGTGCGTCCGGCCAGGACTCTGGTTGTCTGGAAGTCTTCTGCCCACGACCTGCTGCGGTCAGCAGAGACAGAAAGATTGTTTTCCCCGTAGGGCTTGGAGAACAGCACATTCTAGTTCAGTGCAAATAATTAATCCTCAAGCCTCCTTTGCTACAGTGACAGTGAGCAAACAAGGCTCTTGAGCTTTATTTGCTGTTATACAGAAGAAAATCATAGTAGGAGGCAGCCAACATAAGAGGGAAATGACAAATCCTTCTACGCCTGTGGCGTCCCCTCACACCCCTCCTTTAAAAACCACTTCAGCAGGAGAGTCGGGAAGGGTCTACACATTTTTCTGATATAAGCCCGCTCTTAGCTTATATTGTATAGCCAAGCTGTTTGGCTCAGGTTGATAGTGGCTGTACCCCGGTATCGTGGGGTGTGTGTGGATTTGAGATGGGGCAAGAGGTGGTTGCTGTCCAGGTTAAGCCCCAACTGATAAACCTCACGTAGTCTTGAGTGTAGTTATTCAGAATTTAGCCTTAAGGAGTTCCATGAAACTTACTGTCAAGGAAATACTGTAGCCTAGTAATGATCCGTTGATTTATGTTTGACCAAAAGTAGTTACCATTTTATTGACTGAGATTTACTCCTAACTTTGGGTAGCATTTCGGCATTAGGGTGAGTTACTCAAAGATCATGTCTGGACTTCTGTAATCATCTTAGAACTGCAGAATGGGAAGGACCCCTCTGGATCATGGAGTTCTGCCCCTGTTAAGGAGGCACAGTAGGGGAATCGAACCTCCAGCCTCTGACTTTGCAGCCAGATGCTTAAGCCTCTGAGCTGTCCAGCAGCTCTGATGAGCCTCGTTCCTGTTGGCGTTGGGAGTGTCCTTCATTGATATCTATTGTTTCTGGGTCACATACCACCACAGAGGGAAGATACAAATTTTGAAGGCTGACTTATTCCTTGATTTTCAGTTTTAGTGACATTTACATATCTCAGTGTTATATTCATACCGGGCCTTTTTTCCCCCCCAGTAGGACAAGATCCTGAATTTTTGAACCCTCTAGCAGTCGGAGAGTATATACCTGAGAAATGGATCAGCCTTCTGCAGAACAAGAGAGCTGGCACGGAGGTAGCCAGAACTGCCAGGGAGCCAAATAAAGGTGAGTTGATTTCAGATATAATTTGTAAGGCAATAAAGCACTTTCATTTTTTTCATCCTTACTCACTGCTCTGTCCCTGTTCCTAGTCTCTTTCTTGTTTTTCTTGCTCGCTGTGAAGCCACTGAACACTGTGGGGCCATCACCCTGACTGCACTCCAGAGAAATCTTCGGCTCCTGCAAAAACACCGGTACAAGTACTATGCTGACATCAATATGGTTGATACAAAAACATAAAACACAGAGGTTGTGTAATCTTAATCAGTGTCAGTCACATTGCCTCACTCCTGCTTTTAACGAGGGAGCATCACAGTCTCCACAGTCCATTATTTCTAAAGATTGCACTGGATAGAGACATCATATCAACCTTGACCATTCAGCAGTTGGACCCACCGTATAAGACTGGGCTGGAGAAAGGAATAACCTGGCCCAGTACAAGAGATGCTCTCCTCTCAGTGGTTCTGTTTTGTAGACAGACACGTCCATAGATCCACAGCAACATCACTGTCCATTACACCTGCACAAAAGGGCCCTGAAGCAGTACAAGCCACGTTTGAAGTCTGGGGGTCATCAGAAAGCAGGAGGGGACGGCTGGGAAACAAGGACAGGAGCCAACCAAGTGATGTGTGGCAGCAGGATGATTAACTGGGCAGAACAGATGATTGACACGGAAACCCCATCTTTTCTGGTTTCTGTATATTTCTGGGTGTAAATCAGAAGTTCTTTAACTGTAAATCTCTAAAGCAATGCTTTGGGCCCCACCAACTGGTTTGTAGTGTTGCTCGTTTAGGTTTCGAGGCTGGCTTTCCTAAGCCCCTGGCAAATACCCTGTTTTAAGTGCTTTATTTGGGTCAACCCATATGTCCTTGACCACACCGGCGGTATCTCCAAGCTGCATCTCTGAAGCCGGAACAATCACGCCCGAGAAATACCTCCAGTTGCTTTTAGGTTTTCAAGTCCAAAAATGTGTCTCTTGAATTCAATAAACGTTGAAGCCTGCAGCCCTGGGAGCCTCTTACAAATTGATTTTATCTACTTAGAAGTAGTGGGGATAACTGCTTAATCGCTTTTATGCATAATTGAAGATTAGCTGCAGGACAATTAAGGCCCACTCAGTAAGCTTTGGAAAATGTAGTGATTTGTTCATTTGAAGCACAGCATTTCAGGTAAGGCTGCCAAAAAAAAAACACACACACACACAAAACCCCCCAAAATTATTAACCCAGCTTTACTGTGATCCTATGAAGCATGACTCAAAACATTTGTCTCAGAAGCATCCTCCGCAACAGCATACTACTTGGAGGCCCTCATGTGGTTTCCCAAACCAAGCAAACTGAAACCCTGCTTATAAAACTCCTTAGATCAAGCTGGGACAATTTGCAAGATCTGTCGAAACTCTGCAGTGTGGCATTCTTTTTTTTTTTGCCCAGTATGGCTGCCAGCCAACCAGCCCAGTTTCTCTTTAAAAAGCACCATCTGTGCTCCAGATGTTGATGGATTCCACTGTTGCTGAAGCCAGCAAGCGTGGCCAATGGTGGTTGGCCCACAGCATCTGGAGGGTGGCAAAAGATTCACCATGCTTGTTGTACAGGTGCAACCGAGAAGGTGGCCCTGCTTCTCATCTTCTTTCATTTTGCCAGGTTAGGGAAAGACAAAGCAGAGCCTGGAAACCTTCCTGTGTTATATTTATCTGTAACGGAGTTTCTAATTAGCAAGAGTTAGATTAAGCAATTACCCAGAAGTGTTTGAATTAATGTCTGCATTAAAAAGTAATTTCTGTGTCACTGGTATTTACCCCATTTCTTTTTTCTCTCAGTTATCTCAAGCCCTGGTCTAATATTGATTGTTTTACCTTTCTACCAAAATACCTATCATGCATGAGACACATCTCATGTTTTCTCCCCCCCCCCCAAGGAGATGCTTGCATTTTGCCCTCTACCCTAGTATGCACTTCAAGCTCCCTTGCTTTGGGAATACTGATTTCTGTGAACAGGTTTCACTGATGGGAAGCTGACAGGCCTTCTCCTGCCGTTCAAACAGTGGTCGACATTTTTGTCTTGCTCGTGTCACCTTGGCAGGAATTTCTGAGGTATCTGAAGAAGAACGGGGTGCTCGGCAATCTTTTTGTGCCATCAAGATTAACCAGCTCCGTCGTCCACCAAGCTTAGCGCCACCGAAGAGGAATAAGCGGAATGATCAGAGGCATGGATGCGCTTCAGAGGGAAATCTGACGTGTGATTTGAACTGCATTGTACCTGATCAGCTACTGAACAGGCTCTGTCTGAAAAATATCAAGGAGGCTATGAAACAGGTACTGAAAATCTGACGTGTGATTTGAACTGCATTGTGCCTGATCAGCTACTGAACAGGCTCCGTCTGAAAAATATCAAGGAGGCTGTGAAACAGGTACTGAAGGGAAGCAAAGCGCCTCTCTCTCTCTCTCTCTCTCTCACACACACACACACACACAAACACACACTCTCTCACACACACACATACACATATGGAGGAGGAGAGACACACACACACACACACACATATGGAGGAGAAGAAGAAATTTCAAATATTGAGTATCTTTACCAGCAGAGACGTCAGGATTTAGCTGAGAGTGGCACAGATCCTATTTTGTATACTTTCCTTTTCTATCATAGGAAAGCTGTGTTAGTATTTTATCATAAGAGAAGAAAAAAGACTCAGTGGTTCTATAACATGTACTGTGTATTACAGAATAGCAAAAGGTTTTTCTAGGGCTAGGCCTGGAAAACTGATAGGTTTTAGACTTACTGGAATGCAAAGCCCTGATTGATTTCTGATGTGGGGAAATCACCAAATGACACCCAACTCTTTCCCCCCTTAAATTAGTTTGAAAATAACTTGGCCTTTTTTATTGCTTTTGCTCTAAGGAAATCGTTTATCCTATAGCTTACTCTCCCTTAGAAGACTGTGCCATTACGCTGAGAAGTTGCATATAGCCATTATTTTATATGAATGCCTTGACTGTGATTTTGCCTCTTAGATAGCAGAAACCGAAATGCATCACCCTTCACAGTGTTTCCCATGCATGGAGAAGAAAGCAGAGTTGGCCAAATCTGCTTTTCTCAGACGAAGCAAGACCTTGGTGGAGGAGGTTTTGCTTCAGGAGAAGCTGGAAGAACATCTGTATGCCAAAGTAAGCTGTGATTTGAACAGCCATTTTAGCAGCTTTACAAATAACAGCAAAAGGGACTGATATGCAACGGTTTGGTCAGCCAGAGTGCCCTACAGCATTGGGCCTCCAGATCTTCTTGGACTACAACTCCCAGAAGCCTTTACCACCACTTCTGCTGGCCAGGATTTCTGGGAGTGGAAGTCCAAGAACATCTGCAGGCCCATGGTTGGGGACCACTGTGCCTATAGCTAATCTGCTTGTTAGTTGTAAGACTGATCAGAAATAGTGATTTGACTAAAAATTAATGATATTGGCCCAGTAATTTGAGGAGAAATGGTTTTATTAAATGGCTCTTCCTTCAATGTAGCATCCTCAAATCATTTCACTGATGCTTCAGTACGTTTGCTTGGAAATATGTTCCACTGAAGGCACAGTCAAATTGGATGTTAAAGGAAATGCATCTTCCATGCATGCTTCAGCAGTCAACCATTTGTAAATTAATCTCACCTCTTCTAACTGTAAATTTAAATCAACTTGATTAAATTCATGGTTTCAATGGTGATTTAAATCACCTCTCAGAAAGAATGGCTCTAATCTTTAATACATACATATATTTTACAGAACTCAGAGGTATACTGTTTGGTTATAGAAGGCCCATGTTATATGCTTTAAAAGAACTGATTTATTTTAAAAAACTTTCAGATTAGCTTTGCAATAATATTGGAAAATGCTGCCAAAGGTCATTGAAACAGATGCTTGTAAAGGCATGGGAATGTGAAGAATTTCAAGCTTGAACCAGCTCATCATGAATATTCAAAAGATTTTCTTACCTTACTCCGTTATGTCCGTCATGATCTCCACAAAGACACTGGGATTATTTCATTTTAAAAGCCTAAAGGGAAGTTTTGGTGGCAAACCTACCGGATAGGAAAGTGTTACGAGGCCTCTGACTTACTTGTGGTCAACCCACAAGTAAACTTAAAGAGTAGAGACTATATAACTTTTTTTAAAAAAAGAATGGAAAACTGTAAAAGTGAATGTGTGACTGTCATGTGTCAGATCAGATGGCCCCTTAACATTTGTGTGTGAGAAATCTGGATGTGCATATAACCCTCTGTTGATGTTCAGATTTAGCACAATCTTGACACATGTATCATCTTCCTTTGATGCCAATAGATGACCTGTTGAAAAATTTGAACCGAAAGACCATCTAAAGTTTGCTTTAGGTTGTGTATTGATTGCTTCTGTTTCCCACTGTTGGTTTTGTGAAGGAGACTAGCAACTGAGATACAGAACACAAATGCAGGAGGAGGGAGGCGATGCCTTTATTAGACTACTGGAAGTATCAGCTTCTGCATTTGTATTATATTAAGATGGTTAATATAATACAAATGCATATATATGTTCGCTCTTTAGTTTTTTCCCCCACATATATAGATATTACTTAATACAGAATGTGGAGTCTTGACGTATTTGTGATTCTTTATTGAGAACGTTAGTGTGACTGTAACCAAGATTGCCACGACGGAGGGTTTGACGGGGCCTTAATGAAGTTCATGCTTCAATGAACTTTACACTTCTATGTGACAGATTCTCTTGGGAAATCAGCCAGGGTGATTTTCGCTCTCCATAATATTTGAGAAAAGTCAAGGCAGGAAAAGAACAGTCTTGGTCAGAGCGAGGGGAGAGGGTGCAGAAATGAAAAGCAACAGTACCCTGCTGGCCCTTGACTATCGTTGACTATTACCATGTTGTTATTAACAATAATAGCCATGTGCTGTCGATTCCAACTGATGGCAACTTTTTCAGGGTTTTCTCGGTATAGGGAACTCAGAAGTGTTAGCCATGTGCTGTCGATTCCAACTGATGGAAATTTTTTTAGGATTTTCTAGTTATAGGGAACTCGGAAGTAGTTTACCATACCCTTCTTCTGGGGGTGCCCTGGGATGATGCAGCTTGCCCAAGGCTACACAGGTTGGCTGTTCTCCCAGAAGGTGCAGTGGGGAATCGAGCTCCCAACCTCTGGCTCCACAGCCAGATACATTTACCCTTCCTTCCTTCTGGAGGTATCCTGAGATTGTGAGTGACCAGAGACACCTCTGAGGGCTTTTGATTTCTTGGCTGTAGCTCCCAGAATCCTGCCTGAAGGAAATCCTGGTGAATTCTGGTGGGTGCAGTGCAGAAAAATCACAAAAGCCCCGTGCTTCTTTGCTTTATCTTTCCACTGTAAAAATCCATGAAGGTGGCTTGCAAATGTAACAAAAACCTCTGGTTCCGCAGCCAGATGCCTAGACCGCTGAGCTATCTGGGCAGCCATGCTATTATCATTCCCGTGTCATTGACAGTAATTGTTGAGGAGCAGCTACCAGTGCGGGAGACATCCCACCTTGTCTTTCTCTCCTAGGATTCTCTCACCCTCATTGGCGAAATCCACAGAACCCTTCCTAAGCTTTCTGAGGATCCCAAGAACATATGGTGGAAGCTGAACGAGCGGGGCCTGAAAGCGTCGAGCGGTGCCTTGTTCGTTGCAAAGATTAATTAAAGGAGACGAGGAAAATAGGTTGACTCCACACACTCCGAGTGACACAGAGCCAGCCTTTGTGAGACACACAAACACCTGCTGTGGAATTGCCAGCTTTGCACCCTAGTCCCCGTGCAAAGAAAGCAATATGCTCTCCTTTACCAAGAGATGTTTTTCAAATTACGGAAGGGGGCTTTATCATTATTCTGACAAGCTGTAAGTATTGGTTTGTGTGCATTCCTTTTTGGGGTTGCGAGCAACTTGCAGCTGCCGCCACCACCTGTAAGGAAAACAATTGGTTCTGTTTGTCAAGGCGGGGAGGTGTAATGATAGGATTTCGGCTCGGTCCGTGCCTGCTGCCACTTGTTGAATTGAATGCCAGAGTCCCACGTAGAAGAAGGGCGCCCTGGGTGGGAGGGAAAAAAAACCCAGAAGAAACCAAATGAGGTGTTCTAAATTGCTGGCGAAATGAAAAATGCAGCCTGGAATTAATCCACAACCCCGAGGATCCCACAGCAATAAGCCGTGATATTAAATTAGTAATGTCAGCTTGTGAATGTCGGAGCAACCAGAGAATTAAACAGCCGACATAGCTGTGTGTGTGTGTGGGGGGGTAGAATAATGCCCAAATGTTGTTCTTATATTTGCTTGTCTGAAAGTTGATGAACTGGCTTGGGAGGGGGAATTATATCTCATAAAGTTTATGATTATGTTTTTCAAATTTCTCTTTTGATTATTTTACTTCTGTTGTAAACCTCCCTGGAATATGATGGACGAGCCTTGTGAAAATGCTTGGAATGAGTAAGCAGCAGAAAGGAACACATCTGATGTGTCTGCCTGGTGAAGAACAAGTATTTTCCCCCTATGAGAGGTGACATTCATAAACAGACTGGGTTGCTTGTGAAGGTGACACCCATAGGTGTTACACTTGTATGTGGCCGGTTATGGGATGGGCCACCTGTAGATTACTAAACGGTGAGAGAAGGAGTATGAATCTTTGGCCTGCTGTATGTTGTTGGGTGACAACTCCCATCATCCTTTATCCCTGACTGTGCTGGGTAGGGCTGATGGGGGCAACACCCAACCATTGCTAAATTTGAGCCCAAAGCTCTCTGCCCCCCCCAGCACTAGATAATGGTTTCTGAACCCCCTTTAACAAGAAGGCTGTTTGTTGTTTCTCCGCATGATCTTGGATCTTGTCTCCTTCCAGCGGGCTGTCCCTGGGAATAGGCTGGTTTTATTTCTTGACATCTCTGGGCATGCTCTCTAGTTACCTCCTTCCAGACCACACACGTGCCCAGATTTATGACTTCTCCATGTAAAAACAGGTAGAGAGGAATGAAAAACCCTTGATGCATCCATCGGTGTAGCTGTCAGATGCCAAGAAAGGATCGTTCCGTATTGTCCCCCCCAAAGAATGCATGTACTGCTTGGTTTGTTTGAAAGAAAATATGGTGAAAAGTTACAGCCTCCGCTTACAGCTCCCTTGAAAGAGAGCAGGATTAGGGATAGGAAGCCTTTTTTGTAACAGTGTTCCCTGTTACTTTCAGAGGAGTCCCACCCCAACCTGTAGCTACGCAGCGATTTCAAACCTGAGCAGCGCCGTAGAACCAGTGTTTATTTTTATATTTCGTTTTAATTTAACATCATGTTCCACCGTTTTGTGTACAAACTCTCTGTCTGAAATTATTGCTGTTACAGAAACAATATTTTTATTTCCCTTCCCAGCTGAAATGTGTTTTTTTTTTTTACCTTCCTCAGACAAGCCAGAGACATATGCTGTCAGGGGGGCTCAGCTGCTCCAAGGAGGCAGCAGAAGGTTCTGTTCAAGTTCATGTCATTTTATATTACAAGCATCCACTTAGCTATTTTTTTCCTCTCTCCCTTTCTGTCTTGCAACTGTCTCCTTCACCTGTGTGGAATGACTTGGAACGAAGCGGGCAGTGAGGAAACGAAAACCAGCACAGGGAGAAAGCAGGCAGGGGACCTGTCTCCCTCCAGAGATTGCTGGGTTGACAATCCATGTTGCCTCTAATTCTGAGCGATGCTGTGGCTGTTGGAGCCTTCTGTGACAGTATGCAGTCATCATTATTATTATTATTATTATGGCAGAAAGGGGAAGGAAGGGCACACAAATATACATTGTTTAAAATGAGCTGATGGATTCAATGGTCTCAATTCATCAGCTCATTTTAAACAGTGTATATTTGTGTGCCCTTCCTTCCCCTTTCTGCCATAATAATAATAATAATAATTGCATACTGTCAAGTCAGTATTGACTCATGGTGACCCTGTCCAGGGTTTTCCAGGTAGAGAGTAAACTCAGAAGTGTGTTACCCTTCCCTTCCTGGACTCACACCCTTGGGACTGTGCAGCTGGCCCAAGGCCACCCAGGCTGGCTCTTTGGGATACCCGGGGTGGGGGGTGGGGGCGGGAATTGAACGCCCAGCCTCTGGCTCTGCAGCCAGAGACCTATCCAGCCAGTTCCTTCTGGCCATAGATGGGAGAAAATACCCATTTCTGTTTCTTTCGAAAGGATTTATGAACTTTTGCAAATGTGTTCATTTATGGGAGGGAAGGAACTTAAAGTTAAAACAATCAAATGCAGGAGAAGGTTTAACTGCCATGTGCATGCCAAGTTGTCTTCTTGGGAGACCTAGCCTTATCTGGAACTGCTTTGGCTTTGATTTCTTCTCTGCCTTTCCCTGGGCTGTTGATTTTTAGGTGGGAGAAGCTATTAAGGCAATGGGGCAGTGTTGTGGGGTCACGTGAGAGCAGACTCCAGCAGCACCAGATGACAGCTGTTGGAACCAGTTCTGCCTCTATTCACGCAAGACCCCTAAGTTCACCCTTAAGGGTGATAGAAGCATAGCTGTCTTAAAAGCGCTGATGCTCACTGCTTATTTGTTAGTTTTATTTAGTAATAAAATAATACTCTTTTGTTCCTACCTACATGGAATCATGGGCATGATCATTAAATACATTTTCAAAATACCTCTGTCGCCATGAACCAGGGGACTTCCTAAGAAAGTCCTAAAAGGAGTCTGTATTTGTGCGTTCATAAGAACCATTTTATGCTTTGAGTAATCCTCTCCTCTGTCTTTTCCTTCTGCAATTTTGAAAACTCTAAGGGTTTTTCGCTGCCTCCAGGAGAACATTCCCACAGTTTCTCAGTTCTTTTGAGAAAAAAAAAATTACAGTGACTAATGATAATTGTTAAGCAAGCTATATATCTTAGCAGGATGGTTATACGTTTATATATACAAGCTACCTACTTAAAAAACAAAACAAAACAGATCATTATTACAATGTTATCACCAGCCCTCCTGCTAGAAATGATTAAATGGATATATCACCCACGTAGTCATTGTCTTTTGTACATTGTAAATGTTTCACGCTGTGAAAATAGAAGCATGCCATTACAAACTTGGTAAAAGGTTGAGGAAGCATTGTTATATAAGAAATGAACATTTCTTGAACCAGTTTAAAGGAATCAGATGAGTATTAGTTGGTTCAGAATAATAAGAAGAAACAGACATAGTTAATCAGCTTTAGCCAGGATCGTCTTAAGAAGGACCACTCGCTATTAAAAAGAGGCATTCTCTGGATAGAGGAGATATTTATGTTCTCTTTCTGAAATCTGCCTGCATCGCATTGCATTTTTACCTGAAAACAAGGGTGGTGAATGAGATGCCTGCATTAGACCACTAACGCCTCATGCACAGAGGCCAGCTTTTGACTCCACATAAGTCTTCATCCGAGCCAGGGATGGTACAGTTGAAACCGGAGTTCCAAAACCCATGGCCAAATGTGCGGGCCAGGTTCCTTGTTTAAAGCATATTCCCAAACAGAGGCTGAAGATTTGGTCAGAGAGGGTAGATTCTAGGTTATCCCCTCTGGCGATGCAAATTAGAATGACTCGCTCTTGTTAGACACAGAGATGCTGGCCACTAAAAACCTTTCCCCACCCCAAGCACGTGTCACGTCAAAATACGGATTCTTCCTTCGTTTGTTTTTAACTTTTTTTAAACGAGGAACCTGGCGTTCGCTTGGGCCAGGGATTTAAGAATTTGGAATGTTTGCACTTCTTCTGCAGCATCCCCATCGTCTAGCCGGCTGAAGATTCATGCAAATTCAAAAGGTGGCCTCCATAGGTAAGATTCTAGTGGCCTAATGAAGGTGTGTCACCTTGCGTTTGCACTGGGGACAAGGACCACACAGCTTCTTTTCCCCACCCCCACCCCTTTTTAATAGTATTTGTACATTCTTCTATGAAAAATACCTTTTAAAAATCAGCCCAATCCACTTGAAGGCACTGCTTTGGTTTGATCCCTATTTGTTGAACCAGTTCGCTGACTAACTAAATGCGTGTTTCTCTTGCCATATGTGAGAATTGGCTTTTTCACACCAAAAGCTGGGACTTGGGAGAACGGCTTTAGGGACTTGGTTCCCCTTGCTTTTCAGTGGCGATTACGGCTCCCGTTTCGGCCCTGTGTTCAAAAGCGGCTCATGCAGCAGGCCTACTTTAGGAGACCCGCAAAGGGGCAATCTCATCCCAGTAGGTGGGAAACAGCCACACCGTCCCTCTCTCTCTCGGAATCAGCCGCCTCACCCGGCTTCACATCAAGACCAATCCTGATGCTAATATCCTGCAAAGAAGGACTTGGAGAGGTGCATTCACTTCTAAACGTCACCTGCCTTGGGTGTTTGTGCACCAGCTCCAGCTGTTAGAATCACATGTGCCAAGTCTCTTTAAGCATATGCAAAAATACTAGCCTCCTTCAGACGACAGCCAACATTGGTCTCGAGGAAAATAAACCCATTGAATCAAAGGGAACCAACAGGCCATTGACTCAGCTAAGTCTCGCTCATTCAGTGAGACTAATTTAGGACTGGCAGAGGTAGCCTATTGATTTAAATCACTACCTTTTGTACCTTTGCTCTAATGGAAGATGTAGGAAAAACTTAATCTCTTGGCCGTCCGTTCCTCAACATGGGATTTGCTTGGTTAGGGGCTTAGGAATGTGCCTTGGATTGATCGTGACTTGCATTTGTATTTATATGGGGCTTTCCCTGAAAACTGGGACACCAGATTCTTCTAAGCTCAGCTCCTCTACCTTGTGAAAGATCTAGCACGGTTTTAAGAAAGGGTGTTAATTCCTATTTAAAACCCTGTGGTTTTCTCGCCCTGACTTTGCGTAAAGAACTGTAGGAAGAATTCCTTCAAAGAGTGGAAGAATTAGCAGCATTTTCCAGGTGAGAATTTCCCTGTAAGAGATCCACACATCCACTCACTTTGAGTTTTACCACCTGCCATGAAAATTACGTTCATCTCTAGCAAATGGATTTAATTTCATCGTGTTAATAGAATCCCCATTAAAACCAGTGACATTCTGGCCCTTCAGATATGGAGGAAGGGAGAACCTTCTATCTTTGATCTGCCTCCTGCTTTCACAAAACGGGGCTTAGCTGCCGAGGCAGCAGATGCATATGGATTTCAGATACGTATGCCCGGCCCTTTCGCAGAGGCTGAGAGCTGAACTCTTTGTTGTCAGTGGCTGATTTGAGATGGAGAAAAGATGGGCGTTCTCAAACCAGCTGTTCTGAAAAAAGAGGGAAAAATGGTACTGTGATGGGGATCCATTTTAGGAAAGCAGCTTGAGGACTGTGGCAGGCAACGGAATGCAGTTTTGTGGTCCTCCTAAAGAAATATAGAAAGAGTAAGGGTGACATCGCAAACCATAAAAGATTGCTACCAGGTGGGTAAAGCAATGAGATAATATTGCTCGTTTGCTCTGCCTCAGCATCTCTACTGTTCCCATCTCTCCTTATGTTTCCAAGAAAACATGATGTACAAGCTTAGGGTTTTTTGGGTGGTTTTTGGTTTCGTCTTGTGCTTACGAAACAAGTCTTGACGAGCTTTGAAGCCCTCTTTTTTCATGGTCTCTCTGATACTCTTCATGGGCTTTCTGTAGTCTTTTGCTCCTCAGCTTCCATTTGTGGAAGCAGTAGGTGACCAGGGATGTGGTGACCAGAGAGAAGAGGAGGGCCAGCATGACCACCAGGGCCACGGCCGAGGAAAGGGACTCTTCCGCCCGTTGGGCCTCTGCCTCTCGCGTGGCATTCAGTAGAGCAGGAGTCTCATGCTCCCGGGTGGCCAAGAGCGCAGGGCCAGCGGTGCCGCCGAATCTGGGCCTCATTGGGTCTCTGGAAGGACGGCAGCTGCTTGAAGATCAGACGGTTGTGTTCAAAGGGACATGGGCCCTGCGTCCCCGCGCTCGTCGGTCCGTCGGTCTGGAGGACGCCCCTTGCTTTTGTGGACTGTTCATGAAGTCCTGTAGTCTGCCAACGGACATCAGTGGCCAGCGCTAGTCATGAGTTCCCCAAAACCTTTACATTCTTCAGTGTAAGACCAGAAGCCTTGTTCCTATCCTTGCATGCCTTGGATGACTTTTCCTCTCAAGGGTAGAAGGACTGCGGACCTTCACATCTGACCATCCCTCTCTATAGACCAGCACTTCCAGAGCCGGCTGAAGCTGCCGTCAAGCTCTCGTCGGGTTGCTCTCATGCCTACATCCAAGCGCCCTCTCCTCTCTCAAGTCCCTTTGAGGTTTGCTTCGCTCCCTCCCTTGCCTTCTTTAAGGCTAGTACTTGAGTTTCGTTCCTAGCCTCTGGATACAGGGCGCAGCGACTTGCCCGTGTAGTTTGTGACCCTGGGAGAAAAGGGGAGAAAAGGGCTGTGGGTTAGTTTATGACAAAATGCGTACACAGAGGTGGACATTTGTGGAGGGGGGGAGAGACACACATATTTCTGAGATTGTTTTTCTAGAGGGGAAGCTAAAAGAGTTTGGCTTTGCCACAACAGAAGGGCTTTACTGCTACATGAATTTTGTGTCGGAAGGAAACACCCATTTACAAATCCACTATGAAGCCATCCTTCTACTACTGGTCTGAAAAGGCATGCGGCGTGCCTTTCTGTCCTTAAGCCTTGTCTGAGCTGCTAGTTGGCCTTTTGTATCATGCTATGATTTTTAATCTCCAGTGTGACAGTGTGACGGACTAGGACTCTGGAGAACAGGGTTTCGAATCCCCACTCAGCCATGGAAACTCATTGGGGGAGGGGAACTGGTAAAAGTACTCCTTAAAAATCTCTATTTGGGTTGCTTTTAGTCACTTCCAGCTTGGCAGCATGTAA